GGCAAACACCTGTACAGTTTGCCAGGAAGATGAAAGAGGTTGAGAGATAATATAGTATTGCAGGAATTATCACATAACCACTTCCGGTTTCCGTATTATGTACAGTTCTACTTGGAATACTAAAGCTTTACCTATTAACAGATATCTATTTGCTAATAATAACAGATATCTATTTGCTAATAGCATTATTTTTGACTTTCCACACAGAGCTAGTCAATGATCATGATTTTTCCTTAAACATGTATAAAAAGTGCTATTATAAAGTCCTGGAGCTTTATATAAGGCCTAATATCCAATTAAACCACCTTCACAGATATCGATGTTAGGTGAATTTTGATTTGTCAGCAGAAGACTTTGATGCTGGCTTCATACAAATAATTTCTTTACTTTTCCAATAAGTATCAAAGTAGAGGCTAGAAATGAGAATAGAAACTGCAAATGAAAAGCTGTATTTTTATAAATAAATGTGAAAACATGCCAGATTAAGGGGTGTATGTACATCTTTATGGCAACTTTTCCCACGACATGAATAGCTTGGGTACTTTTACAAAAACATTAAGTGATAAATCCATTTGAGGACAGTGTAATAATGTATGTGTGAAAACACACACATTACATGTGCACACACAGATGGCAGATTTACAAGGCGTGTCAGATAGCTGGTGGCCATTTCTGAATTAAGAATAGATAACTGAGTCACCCCAGATTCCACTATATTTATACATAAATTGTGCATTTATAAAAATCTTATAAATAAGTTTTCCATGAAGACATTATGGGTAACAATTTAACACATATAATAAGAAAATATCTTAACATCTTAAAATCACAATTTGATAAATTAAACCATTCAATGAGCAGACACCTACCACGAGGAAGTAATTCTATCCATAAAGACTTCTCCTTTTTTATGTTTGAAACAGTGGCATGCTCTTTAAAGTTTTCATCCTAACACACTGTTTGTAAGCTTTGTCTTAATGGAAGGAAAGTATTCTGAAATACAACTTAACCCAAAAAGCCAAACACGCATTTCGGTCAGTTGCTTACATGAAGAGAAGTTTATGGTCCTGCAAAATTGAAAGTAGATTTGTTGTCAAACTTTGTAAACTGGACATTCTGTTAGATTTATTGTTTCCTACTAAATAGATGGTTAACTCCATTTGCTGAATGATTGTTACCAAGACATGATGGAAACTCAGCTGATAACATGTTGTGTTATGTTCTGAGGCCACTGAAGCCAGCCGGTGTGAAAGTGACAGTAGGGCACAGCTGTAACGCTGCCTGGGAGTAAGTCCTTTATGTCATTTTTCTGAAACTACTTAGGCTTGTCTATACCGTGTCAATAGCATACCTCATCTTAGAAATGAAATGCTAAGTGTTCCAGGAGCAGCTGGTAACATTTCAATGACTGGGATAATCAGCGTGAGCCCACATTTAGTTTGCTAACTGAATGTGCAGAGAGGGAAGAGACAGACTGTCACCGCACACGTGACAACACTGCATCCCGCTTTCGCGTTTATAATGTCTAGACAGAGCACTGTGTTCCATTAAAGATGTAGACAGCAAAAATATTCACATTTAAACTGCTTACGGACCCTATTCTATCGAGGAAAAACAATTACACTAAGTTAACCGGGGAAACGGAACCGAGGAATTCTTGGGAGATCTCAGGAATATTTTCCGTTTGGAGGTCCTCCTTTTCAGTCCGAGTTATGGCTCTTAGTAAATTGGTTGCTTTGGGTGAAATAAATGAGTCATGCAGACTTATTCCTTCTGAATAAATGTGTACATCAAAAAACCAGAGTTGCTGCACGCGCCTAGCAAGACCAGCGAACTGGCCACAGAGGAAACGATGGCTGAGCACGGAGCCTCCCTGCAGCCCAGTCTTCCCTGCCCAGTCCTCCCACGCACATGGACAATACCAAGGAGAACGATGATGCTTAGTGTTTGTAAGCTGAGCTACAGAGCAACAGGAATCACAGGGGGAAGTGTTTGGTGAGAAAACTTCCGGCTGCCACCCTGTGTGCCACAAGCACACAGATACACACACGCTCAGTATGCAAAATGGAGGTGTAATTACCGAGGATTCACCACCCTCCTACCACATTTCTCAACATAGAGTTCACAGACCAAGACCAAGGCAGACTCTTACAAATGCCTAAGACCTGGGTATCACTGCTTGCAGCAAACAGATACCTGCTCCTCATGGCAAATAAGAGACGTGAATAAAGGAAGATTAGCATTTCTGGGAAATACATAACAACTCTGTCCATATTGGACTTCACCTTCTTACGTTACCTATTTATAGCCTATTTGTATCAAATAGTGTTTTCAAGGAAGAAGAATATACTACATAAAAAAGAGAGAAAGCCAGTACCAAAATACTATCACACATGCCTAAGTCAAGCAGCCACGTGCGGTACTGGTTAGAATTAACAGTGACAGTCACATGTTGGAAACTGCGGTGACTGCTTCGGGGAAAACTGTGATCACCCGCCTCTGGGAAGGTAACAGTGTCTTCTGTCCCTTGTTCCTGCTGGACCAGGGAGGCCTGGGCGGGGCCCATGGGAGGTCAGGAAGGACAGATCAGGGCAGTCTCAGGGGTCAAGGGCTGTGGCGATGGCCCTGGCCAGCGGGCAGCTCGAAATGCTCACTGATGAAGGAAGGGTGCCGACAGGTGGGGCTCCCTCACACCCCGACTGAGCTCTCGCTTTATCACTTGCTGTCTTAAATGAGAGGAAACAAGCATGGAAACTCAGTGACTTTATGGAGTACGACAGAGTTCGGGTATATTAGTGAATCGCTCAAACAAAAATGGAAGACATTTTCTCTGTCTTATTCCTGGTTGAGAAGGGGTGTTTGGGACACTTTCCATGGCTGGGGATGCAGACTGGGTGTATCAGTCTTTTGGCAATGGAGGAATCTTAACCCCAGATTCTTGACTGTAAAACTCCTATTCCTCAGCAGTGGGGTCCAAGCTGCCACATTCTTACAGCGACACTGATCCTCCCATGAGATGTGTGGCACCCTCAGGTCTATGATGCCCCGGCCAGTGCTCCCGGATGGCTGGGGGGTGGGGAGGTGATTAAAAGTCAGGCATAGCTCGGGAAGAATGATGTGCACTTTCAACTGCAGCAAGCCCAGAGTGGAAAGAATGCATGACTTTACCCATGATTTACATGTGTAATTCAAGCTCAATGTAGGCAAGAATTGCTGATATTAGTTATCACTGTGAGGAGAGATGCATAGAAATAACCCTAGGAACAGGTGCTACATATGGAGGCCAACACAAACACATTTATATAGATGGAACTCATAAGAGAAATAGGCTGAATGTTCTTATCATAAGATAAACTAAATGACCCAAAACCTAAACAAAAACTAATGCACAAATACTCAGCACATGAGAAAAGTATTTGGATATAAAAAGTAAGACTTTTTACTTTCTAGTTTCCTTGAATATAATTTTCTCCTCAAAAATAATTTTTTAACTATTTCAGGAAAATTTAAAAAAATCTGAAAGAGTTGTTTTAAATCTGTGTTCCCAGAATGAAAAAAAAATAAATTCCACCTTTCTAACTAAACATGTTAGAAATCACGGGGCCCAATCTAGGATTACCCCCCAAATAAGGGATCAAGTCTGTGGATGTTTGTGATCGGAAACCGATCTTCTCAGAAGGCAAATACGAGCAATCTGGCACTGCAAGGTGACACATAAAAATCTGTCTATTTTTGTGGCACTGTCACCAAAAGTGGCAGCTACAGGTGGCCTCGCTAAGTCAGGTGTCTGCCTGAGGTGTCACTGCTACTACCTGGTTCGCCTGAATCCTCCACGACAGGTCTCTGGCACCTGACACCCCTGTTACTAGCTTCAATCCTCTCCTCAAATTTAATCCACAACACAAATTTGATACCGAGTCTTTTCCTCCTTAAATGGCTCTGTCATGCGCAGGTGAAATAAATTGACAGAGTAAAGGAAACGAGCCACGTGGAATTACGATGGCAAGTACAAGGCTGAAGTTCCACTTAGAGACTGAGAGCCCCAGGAGAGAAGATTCCTGTTAAGAGAGACTAAACTGTGCTCACCTAGGTCTCTGGAGTCTGGCTGTGGCCATGGTTTCAGCAGTGGCTGCTCTGTGTCACGACTGAAACACACAGGATCACCATGTTATCTTCCGGTCTCTAGTTAGTGTCTCACATTTTTTATTTTGACTCTGGTGTTTGTACATGTAATTAAACGCACCCTGCAGATCTGGAACCACAGAGCCAGGTGCTTTGTTAAGGGATTTTTAAAGCATTTCTTCTCTCCTTCTGAACTCTCAGTACACAGTGTCACCGAACTCAGCGGCTGGAAGGAGTTAAGTTACCACCGGCATGTGCTATGGGATACAAGCTGGTTGCCTGCCAGGGAGGAGGGACAGAAGGAATGAGGTCTCCACTGCCGGCAGGACCTTGGGGCAGAAGCAGCAGCACCCTGTGGTCCCTGGGTGTCCCCACTTGAGCTGAGAGGCTCACCCCTCCTGCAGTGTCTGTGGGGCTACATCACAGGAAGCCTGAATCACAGCCTGTTACGTTTCTCACCAGCGAGTCACTGAGCGTCAACCTGGAGGAGGCCTGGGAAAGAGCCACAGATCCAGGCCCAGGGCTCCCTCTCTCTCCTGAGCTTCATGTGTTAAAGAGCAAATGCACTGTTAAAAACACGACAAGCCCCCGGCACCTTACTGCTGCGGGCTGGGTCCTTCGAACTCATGAGTGATTTCCATGTCCTCTGAGACACAGGAGCCGGAAACTCCCCTTAGAGCAGCTGCTGCAGGAACACACCGCGGGTGGCCCTAGTGACTCCTGTGGAACCGTTTTCTTTCCTCAAAGAAAAAGCACCGAAATCCCTTTACTGGAGGTGACAAACAACAGCTAGCAGGGCCATGCACACGGGGACACTCTCCCGCCCGCTCCTGAGCTGGCACACCAAGGGCTCCGGGGGGGACGTGCACCAGACACAATTTAATGAAAGCTCTCAAATAAGCGATTTTATTCCTATCCATGATCGCAGACATTTACAAAACCATAACATCTGAGTTCACCTTAAAAAATAACTTATATAAAGCAGTGATATACACAGCACAAAATAGTTCAAGGAGGGGGCAGGAGCAACTTTTAATAATTAAAATGTAAACGTGAAAAAAAGAATGGAATAAAAGTCCCTACTTATTTCTACGTAAGATGTCATGTCGTACTGTACAATGTCCTGTGGGCCGATGCGCGCGTGCGTGCATGTCCATGTGACACCGCATGTACGATGCAGCCTCTGCCCACACGTATACATACACAGATAATTATTTGCAGTTCGGTCTCAGGCAATTCTACTGCGCCGCTCCGTGCGGCTGTGTGAATCGCGTTTGGACCCGCTTTCTTCACGGAAACGGGGAGAGAGCAGGAGCTACACGGTGGGCTCGGAGCGACTGAGATCTGTTCACTGTACACTGCGGTGAGGAAGTGCTCCCGAGGGTCCGCGGGCAGGCGGGCGGGCGGCGACTCTGGGGCTTCCAGGGGCCTGGGACCCTCACACGCTCATCGTCATGCTCGGGGAGTACTGGGAGGAGAGAGGAATTGCATTTTAGCAGCAGTTCTTTCACAGGTCACTCGGCTTGCATCTGCCCGAACAAGCGTGGCCAGCTGTAAGGACGACCCGAGTTCTGTGCACACTCCAACTTCCCGAGATGGAACTGACTGCTACACACCGTGGACACAGACTGCCCAAAGTCCCTACTTTACATGAAGGAAATGGGTTAACGACAGCACCTAGGGGTTTGGGCAGAATTAAACATCAAGCCCTGAAAACTGCAGCTTACTGGATCTGCACAGTCTCAGTAAATGCCAGGCGAACGGGAGAGAATCGGAAAATATCCATCCTACCTGCCCCAAGACAGCTACTCTCATACACTGAGGACCCAAAGGGTGTAACAAGGGGATGCTGGGGCAGAACCTCAGCATTGTGGGAGGCTGAGGCAGGAGGATTACAAGTTGCAGTCGAGCCTGGGCAACTAAGTGAGACCCTGTCCCAAAATAACTATAATAATAATAATTTTAAAAAGTGTTAGAAATGCTTCTCAGTGCAAAGGCTGGGGCCTTAATCCTGACAGTGGGTAGCTGAGAAATGAAAGGAGGAGCAGTCTGAAGAAAACGGCTTCTCCTTTTTCTTTTTTAGTGATACCGGGGATCTAACTTACGACCTTATGCTTGCCAGGCAGGCATTTCCCCTTCTTGATCACAATAGCAAAAAGAGTAAAGCAAAGCAAACCCCTCAACATTTGCAGACAGGACTGCTGACTGGGGCTCCCCGGCCTCTGCTGGATGGAGGGCAATTACCCCACTTCCTCCCAGGCACCTTGCACAGTGACAGCATAAATCATCTGGCAGGTACCAGGGTGTTATCCACGGTCTTTGGAAAGACAGAACCATACTCTGATAGCTCATTTTCAAAAGGGGCAACAAGGAAATACGTGGATACTCTGTGCACGTACCAGCTCCCCATGAATATGCAGACACGTACTCACGCAATCTTCATAAATAATAAAATGGGTAGAAAATATCAGATACGGGAAAACATGCACAGAGAACTGTAATGGATGCCACTCCAGTGCTGCCTTTACAGTAAGAACTGTGACTCAATGAGCAGAAGCCCACTGACCTATGATGACCAAGCATGGCGACACAGCCACCTGCTGCATGCTGCCACTGGACTTTGGGCATGTGCTCAGTGCTGATCAGAATCTGAGACTTCATGGTACTTAATTTAAATTTAAGCAGCACAGGTAGATTGTCAATCATTATTTCTGAATAAAGATTGTATTGGATATACTATGTTAATAATCTAAAACAGTAGGATCACCTAAAGCATTTCAGAAAGGATCTTAAAAGAAATGTTTGAAACCACTTCTAAGCCACAGTTACTTCCAGTGCAAAGCTCATTTATTGTATGGTATAAAGAACTGAGATTCTGGAAGTTCTTGAATTTTTTCTTCCTAAATATTCCAAGTCACTCCCAGAGCTCAGGAAGCATTGAGGATGATGGTAAAAATATATAATCCTTTTTGTTCTAATAAATGTTGTTAAAAGATACATATATGCAAACATAGACATAAAGTTTGTTTTTATTGGCTGCTACTATCCTTTAACACTAGTGGTTGTTAACATCTTTAATCTGGGCTATTTCCAATGGCCCAAGCAAATGCTGCAGGAAAATGATCATGGGTTACTGAGTTGATAGCATGTCTCGAGGCAGGTTTGCCCAAACAGAAAACTGAGTTTTCTGAAAAAACAAAGGAGGACACAGAAAGGGCCAGATTTGATGAGAAAGAAGGGCAGTTTGTACCCTGAGACACAACTCAGGAAAATGAGGTGGGCTCCAAGGCTGTGTAAGTGTCACAGGTCACAGTGCTGCAGCAGGTGCGGTGCAGGATGGCGCTTTGTGCAGGACCTGACCGTGTTACCACGTCTCTACCGCACGTCCACCTCAGGGCTGCAGGCCACCCACCTCAGCTGTCTCAGGGGAAACTGCTTGAGAGGAAGGTGATGAAGAGGAACCCAGGCTTCCAGCAGAGCTCACAGAAAATGTGAGCAGGAGGGACTCTGGCCTGGGAGCTGGAGGAGGTGCTTGCATTCTCCCAGAAGAGGAAGAGTGGGTAACTGGAACCCCACATCTGGAGCGTCGGAACACCACGCGTCCTGCAGCACCTGGCTGCAGTGTCTCCACCATGCTGCACACTGGCTCGCAGGCAGCTGTGGCACTGCCACCAGCTGGCCTGTGCATCTGCATCTCCACAGAGGGCAAGACAGCTCCTGAGGCCCTTTCGGCAGAGTACTGCTTGGGTTGCCGAGAAAAAGAAATGCTAAAGATGTTATTTTACACTCACTCAGGTGATGTTTTTACATTTTCATTGGCTCCATTTGAGTACGGTGATCGCATGGGCCATGGAGGCTGGCACCTGTGACGTGCTCTGAGCCTGCTCGCCCGTGATCCTGTGGTTTCCTGTCGCCTGGGGCATGCACAGGCCACTGTGCTGGAGATGTCCATGGATGCTGAACAACGCATATGGACTCCTGTTCGTGCTCCTCTAGAACCCGGGTTCTTAATGCACTGCTGTGTCTCAGCGTCTGTATTTTGTTTCCTTAGTGGGAAATAAGGAACAGCTCTGCCACTCTAGATGGAGTGAAACACACTTGGTGTTTATGTGACTACACAAAACCCTGGGGTTGATGTGAATTCTCGAGCGGAGGGGTGGTAATAGACCATCCATACGTGTTCCTCAGTCCCCATCGGATATGAAGAAGATTTTAATATTATTTGTGCTTAGCTGATTAAAGATCAAGATCACAGGTAAAATACTGCTCTAAAGTAATTCAGGAAATCAGATGGATTGATTCTTTGAAAACCACGAAGATGTTTTTGAACTTCACCACTCTGGACTATGCTTTTAGAAACCTGTGATGAAGTTTGGGCATCAGGGGGCGTCTTTGATTCTGAACTGAATGGCCTTGCTGGTGACCCCAGCCCCGGGAGGCTGCATCCTGTGGCCTCTTTGGAGCGCGTCTTGCGCTGTCCAGCGTGCTGGCCCTGCAAGGCCGCGCCCAGCTGGGTGTCTGTTTCTGTACACGTTGTCCTTGGACACAGGCTCTGTCCAGCTGCTCCTGGGGTGCAGCTTCAGGTGAGGAGCAAGGAGCCCCACAACTCATACTGCTCCAAGGCAGTGCCTTTCAGAGCACTATTCTCCAGCTTTTTTGCATCTGCATTTCCTGGAACCTGTCTTCCTTTTGAACTTAACAGTTCTGTGCATCCTGATTATATTCCCCCAAGGTGACATGTGGCTTAGCTCTGCGGAGACTCTGGTCTGTCAGCCGCACTCTCCTGGTCTTTTTTCCTCTCTCCTCTCCCTACCTAGGTCTGTCCAGAACTTCGACAAAGAGCCGCCGTGCCCTGGCCGTTCACAGGTCAGCCCTTCTGGTCACGTAGACAGCCAAGGGCAGTGTCAGGGCAGCCTGGGCTATTCACCTGCTGCTGGACACCTTTCCTTTTGCGACTTGGCCTCTGCTCTCAACTATGCCCCTCCTTCCTAAGGCACTGTGCACAGGAGGACCGGTCCTTTCTCTCAGCAGTGCAAGCATAGGCCAGCTGGGATGGAAGTGGGATGTGGGTGCCCCTTCTGTGAAGCACCTGACAGTCTCTGCTCCTGAGGCCGGCCTTAAATCCACAGCCCTACTGACAGGGCGGTCACGGGACAGCTGGGGGTCCCTGTTGTCATAAAGCCACGTGGAACCTGCTTCCGAAGGGCTTCTTAACCCCTTTCATCGTTTCTGCTTACTGTTAAAATACATGGCTTACATCTATTGCTTTTGTTTTAACTTTTTATTTTATGCTTTAAGATGGCACAGAAACTCATGCCTGTGTATGGAGTGTGATGTGATGCTCCCACACCCAGCTACCATGCAAAGTTTGCGTTGGGGTGACCGCATCTCCCTCCTGGATCATTGCTGTTTAAGGCGAGTGCCCCCCAATCCTCAGTGTTTTTGTTCTCAGAGGAACGCAGTGTGGGGCAACTCTGCTAGTGACCAGCCCTCATCTCCCCCCAATCCCTGGACTGTGGTACCTTGGCCCTGTGGTCAGCGTCCTACTCTGGCTCCGGGTGCTTAATGTTTCCATTGCTCGTGACTGAAGCCAGGCCATGCTGGTCTCCCTGCGCCTGTCTCGTGTTGCTCAGTGCCATGTCTCCCAGTGCACCCATACTGCATTCACAGGGTCCTGCCCTTTCCTATGGCTGGGGACAGCTCACCGTGGCTGAGTACATTCGCGTGCTGTCCATATCTTCAGTCTGGGCGGAAAGTTGTGAGGACTTCACCCCAGGCTCTCCTTGGCAAGCTTTTCCATTTGTGCTGAGAAGGCAGCAGTGATTCTGACGGGCTTTCTTTCATAGCTGATTTCTTTCTTTTCCCTAATAGCTTTCAGGATTCTGTTTTTGTGTTGAATTTCTGGAATGTTGACTATGATATGCCTGACTAAGGATTTTTTTGATCATTGCTAACTGGAGTTCTTTATACCTTGTTTAATCTGTATGTCAAATTCTTTTTCTCTACCAGGAAAGTGTTCTGTTGTCTGTGAACATTTTTAAATGTTCTTTGTGGTATCTCCTGCTTGTTCACTGACTCCAATTAACTTTTAAGTTATTCTTCTTTGTCTCATCTAGCAGCAGTTGAGTTGATTTCTCATGGTCCCTTGCTATTTTTGAGAAATCCTTCTTTTCCAAGTCCCTAACTGTTGGCCTGTCTTCAGTGTCTGAGATCCTGTCTTCACATTGGCCTAATGTGCTCTGAATACTTTCAATGGAGTTTTTATTCTCCTGGATATATGCTTGAATCTGCTTTATGGACTCTATCTTTCCTGTGCTGATGTTCTATAATTTTCTTAAGCTTGTTTTTCTTGTCTGTGTTTGCTCTATCATTGCTAAGCATGGTGTGTACTTTGGTAATTTCTGTAGCTATCTGAGAGATTACTTCTGATTTCATTTCTTCCAGAGTCTCATTGCATGGCCTTGTTGTTTCCACTTCGGAGAGGCCTGGTGGGGGTTTGGATTGTCCCACCTCTTTGCCCCTTGGATCTGCGGTTGGCACACTGGATGTCTGGGGCTGCATTTTGCTTGAGCGCCTTCTCATTTTATTTTCTCTCTCTTTTTAGTTTAATTCCTGAGGTGATGTTTGTAGGTTGCCTATGATGGGCTGCTTTATTGGTGGTGTTAGGACACTTAGGTGATGACTACTTCTCTGAGGTATCTCCCAGGTGTAGCTGAGTTTTGGGTTTTGAGCCTGTTGGAAGATCCAACCTCTTCAGTTTCTTAGAGATGAGAAACTATTGCTCATTTGGCCCGGTCCCTGGTTCTTGTATTTCTGTGACCCTTAGTTAATCTCAGTCATGGAATCCCAGGATCAGCACGGCCAGCCAGCGCAGTCCTCCACGTCCGCTGCTCCTCTCTACTGCCGTGGCCCTCTGCAGAGGCCTCTGGGGTCACTATGACCGTGTGTCCGCAGGCGCCAACAGCTCCTCTCACCTGGTGAGTCCCAGCTCAGGGCGAAGGTACCACTGCCTTCATTGAAGTTTTTCTTTTCACTCTCTTTGTGGGCTTTAGTTCATACTTTGGATTCTTCCTGGGGCCGGGGGACCCACCTCCTTCCTTCTAGTCTTCCTCATGACGCTTAGTCTAGCATCTGAACGGGGTCTCTGCTGCTTACCGCTGTCATCTTCCGGAAGTGTCTGATTTCCTTTCTTAGCTACTGTATATGGAGTGGCACAGCATTTCCATTCTGAAAAGTGGTTTTGTTAGTTATGTGAGCGCCTGTCTTTCTTTCTGGGCTACACGCTTTCAGGACAGGTATGTGTTATGTTTACCTTAAAAAACCTTGGCCTTAACCTGCTGCTTTGGCTTCAGCAGGCTCAGTAAATGCTGAACTGAATTGATTTATCTTATACTCATTGGATATTATACAATGTTGCTGCTGGAAAATTGCAGAAATGGAAATGAACATCTCTAATTAGATGAAGTACATACAGGAAAATGACTAACCCATCCAGTCTTGCAGTGAAACCATGAAAGAATCACGACTCAAAGCACAATTCCTGTATTGTGAGCATCCTTAAACTACGGAGTTTCTTGTGTTCTTCCTATTTCCTCATCACTGACAGCTAAGCTCTTGATTTATCAAATGACTATACATTTTCTTTGTCTTCCCTACTTGCATATACCCTGCTAGTAAACTAAAGTGCAAAGTCTTCCCCAAGTTTAACAGAGATAAAATGTCAAGGCAGGAAGGGTCACATACCTCAGAGGCTGCAAGCTGTGACCAAGAAGTAAAAGAAACCATGGCTCATGTTTGGGAGGGGTACTTTCAAAAATCTCCCAAGTGTTCTGGTGTAAAACAGCAGCTTAAAAATCATTGCTTTCCGCTCATCTCCTGGCCCTTCTAGCACTCACCATACCCAAGGCACAAGATGCGCACTCTGGGCTGTTGGCTGAGTGAGTGAATTTCTTTCTCTGCTTCACTTCTGGCCCTGCCCATTTCTACAGAATTATGGGAAGTGACTCCTTTGGCTTGGCACAGGCCCCATCTCAGCTGGGTGACCTCCTGCATGCCAGCGGGCTAGCGCTATCGTGCTTCGGGAGGACAGGTGACGTGCAGGGACACAGTGACGTAGTGGAAGGATCAGCTAGGCGACCTGTTTCCATCACATCCTCGGTGGGGGATGCTTGCCAGGCAGAAACTATTATTACTGATTTATAACTGTGAGCACAGGTGTACTCTAGAGAAAGGGTATTTTAATTTTTTTCAAAGACATTCCCCTTAAAGTGTCTTCTAATTTAAAAGATCATCCCTTTGAACCCTAGATACATAGCAGTGACAACGGTCTTATGCATTTATTCACATAGAAGTTCTTCAGAAATGAAATGCAGACAGAACACAGCTGAGGAAATACTTACGCTCTCACTCTGAAAAGGGTTTAAGAAGTTCCCCCCCATCTCGCTGTCATCCCTCGGGGTGCCGGGCTGATTGCTCAGGCTCATATTATTCGGAGAGTTCTGCAAACAACAGTTGGAAAGCAAGGCGTTGGTGAAGGTTTAGTTTCCCTGCCCCGCCACCGCTGTTTCAGACTTTGGACCCAAGAGAGTGTGCAGACTTACAGCACTCACATAGGCCCCGCCATGTATCTTGGCTCGCTCTGCAGCTTGCCAGGTACTAACGCTTTCCCCAGGGAAAATTAAAATCACACACAAAAAATTCCTCAAATAACCTACCACAAATATTTTCCTAGTTTCAGAATAAATAAATATTGACCCCCTCCCCTCCCCAGCTTATAGTACAGCACTCCTGAGAGTTTGAAAATGTTCCCAGCACGGCTCTGATGCAGAGCACTTTGCCACAGCGCAGGCAGCCAGACGGTCCTCCCTAGATAATTTCACTAATCAAAACTGGAAAGGTCACCACTTTCATAACCATCTCCCTTTAATCCTATGTGCATTTTACAGGCTATACTACTTCACCTGAGTGTGCTTTAATATGAACCCTGAGGAGGAAAGGAAGGTGGTGATGAAGTTCAGAGGAGACACTTCGGGACCAGAACTCAGCATGTGCTTTTACAGCAGGAGGCTGCAGGGTAAGCTCCATCAGAGGCTGTGGCCATCCCTAGTTTGAAAGTAGGTTTACTTTGAAACTTTCCTCCCTGAGTGGCCGCTAGAAGCAGCCCGATCAAACACGGGGTCAGCGGGCAGGGCTTTGTGACCATCTAAACGCTGCAGCCTCATCCGGCCACGCCAGTGTGCACAGGAAACCGAGGGGCGCTGGCACGCAAGTGGGTCACACGGTGCCACAGTGTTAGGGGTCAGGGGGAGGCTTCTGAGGTGCAGTTTATCTGCTGCAGGAAACAAACCCTTTGGGGCAAGCATTTTTTTTATTGCAAAAGGAAGATGGGGACTAGGGGTTTAGCTCAGTGGGGTGAGCACCTGCCTGGTGGGCACAAGGCTGGAAGTTTGAGCCCTGATACCAAAAAAAAAAAAAAAGAAGTGGTCTCAGAAGGATTAAAGACTAGGCTTTTATTTTTTTGGGGGTACTGGGAATTGAACTTAGGACCTTATGCTTGTTAGGCAGGTGCTGTGTCACTAAGCTAAACCTCTGGCCCCTTTAGAGTGTATTTTGGATTAAGTTTTTAGATTTCTCTAAAAGAAATATACTGCAGGATTTTGATTTAACTAAAACAGGTTGTGCTGTAAACATTAACACTTTGTGAATGAGTGACTCCCAGGAGGCCGCGTGCTCTTGGAGGCTCCAGTGGGAGAGTGAAGCCGAGACAGGCAGACGAGGAGTGAGGGTGCAGGGCTCTGTGTTTTTCCGGGGACTTTAGGGAGGACGATGGGAGGGCAGAGCCTTGGCAGCCCGAGGGAGCCCATGTGCCAGCAGTGGGGCATGGAGCCACACCCTGCAGGACAGTGAGGAGTCGCTGTCTCTCTGTCCCTCTGTCCTCTCTTCTCTTTCTCTGAAAAGTTACCCAAGTGTACAGAAAAGCAACTATACTTTGAAATCAATATTGGTTAACTGACTTACTTGAACATGTGAGTCAAATTTAACTAAACCCACTATTTCAGAATTCATGCTGGGATTAAATAATAAAATGTGCTTTGAAAACTGTAATCATGATGGCAACTTAGCTCCCAAAGGAAACCAGTCTTCTAAAAACACTGTAAGGTTGACCCTACCCATCTTTCTAGTAAAGGCAGATTTCTCGTAGTGTTGAGGTGAAAGTGAGGTGACCAGCGTGCATGAAAATTTGAGCATGCACTCAGAGTGGACCCTCTTCCACACTGCCTGGTACGTGCAGGAAATACACGCTCTGTTCTCATGCCCTGCGGCTCCAGGCTGTCGAGGGGCTGAGGTGCTCACTGTGTCAGCCCCCAGTTGCTTTGCGTCTCTCCCAGCCCTGCCACGTGTCATTTCTTCACTGAGAGTCTGGAAAGTTCAGCTGACTTTAAATCTGTCCACTCAAAGCGTTGACTTCAAATTACTTAGCATTTGCAAGCAATATTACACTTTCCACAGTTAAAGATTTCCAGAGTCCTTCCAGTACTATGCTTACTTGTTTCCCATGCACACTCTTCCTAGCATGGGGGCCCAAGGTGGGGTGCAAAGGAAGGGGGTGCACAGAAGGGTGCTATGAGGAAGACTGAAAGAGAACAGCAGAACTAAAGTGTCAGACCTCTGCAGCCCGTTCCTATCCAGTTCCCTGGCTCAGATTTGAAAAGCTAGACGAGACAAAGACAAACGTTTTGGTTTGATCTGGCTTTCACTTGAAGCACCCCCTGCAAGATGTAACTGCAACCACAGGGCCTCAGAACGAGGCGTCTCAGCCCGGTGCTGTCTGAGGTCCTCGTGGGCAGGCATGCGGCACTAGGCCCTGATGAGCCATGAGGACAGTCTCAGGGACCGCCCAAAGCAGGGGAGCAATGCTGTATACAGTGGCCTGTGCGCAGGGTCCCTCCCTAGCACTGTCCACCAGGCACAAGGAACCTGGGTAGTCAGAAACGCAGTGCGCTGCTTAACATAGGAGGGGGAAAAGGATCCCAAAAGAATACAGCCAAAGATGGCGCTTAGCGGCACTGGTCACATGAACTGTACTTGGGATTTCAGTGGATGTGTGCTTCATTCTGTACTCTAGGAATCTGAAATGTAGTTTGGAGCTGGGGATGTAGCTCAGCACATAAGCATCTGCCTGGCAAATATAAAGCCCTGAGTTTGATTTCTGGTACAAAAAGCAAACAAAACAAAAAAAGAATAAAGTGTAGTTAGGATTTTACGGGTGCTGTCCCCAAGGGAAGCGCTACATCCCCATCACCCTTTGCACTGGGAGCTTGTGGCACTGCAGGGCCATCCACCGGTGATCTTTGAGGTCACAGCCAGGCAGCTTGGGTAGCTGCCTCGTGCTGCCGTGCTTTCCTCTTCGAGGCTGCAGTCTCCAATCTATCCTGTAAGCATGTTTTCATATCTTCTCCTAATTTGTAGGCTGTCTCTTCCTCTATTCTTAAAGAATGTTCCAAACCTTTTCAAGATCTTTAAATTGCAAATTTTTAAAATTTCAAGTTAAGAAAGCAAGGAGCAACATTGGCTCTGTTATAGTTAAAGAAATGTCCATGCTGTGAGCCTGGGAGATCTACTTTGAATTGATTTTTCACAATTCTAAGCTTCACAGGGTGTCCTGTGGACTCTACTGCCAGCCACCTTCCTCGGGGCACCGCTGGGCTGAGCAGGGATTTGGCCACCACACTGGGAGGACACAGACATGGCTGTCCTTAGTTCCCTTGTGAGGTCCTCATGGGAACCTAGGTTCTTAGGTCAGGAAGCTGCAGGTCCCAAAGGCTGGAGTCATTTACTAAACATGCTCCGATCACATCTTGCCTTCTAACTGAAAGATACCCATGTGTTAGAGCTTAATACAGACTTCCACTGGGCCCTTTCTGCTCAGACACAGTCACCTGCTCCTCCCTGCCCCTAATTCCTGAGGTAACTGCGTGCACTGGTGAAATGGTGGCTTTTTAGCTGAAGAAAGGATGATGGGAACTTCACATTGCCTTGCAACAGGAAGCGACCGCGGAGTTCTTTACTGCGGGCTGCCTGGGAGCTGTCTCTGGCCATAACTGCAGACCCCATGTGAAGAGCTGCAGGCAGCATGTGCAGTGCTGGCAGCCGGGGCACACAGTCACGTGGGTCCTCAGGAGCTGCACGAAGCAGGGTGCAAACCACAGCTCCGTGTCACGGCCAAGGACACCACACCCAGGAGAGAGGTGCATCTCCCACCACCTGTGAGAATAGGACCAGCATCTCTCACTCCGAGTCCTTATTTATTTTAGATATAGTTGGAAAATATACTGAAGAAAGCAAAAAAAGAATTGAAGCTATGCAATGTTTAGAAGGGACAAGGCCAGGCACGCAGCATATGCAGCTGAGGCCAAGGCAGAAAGGTTTGTGAATGCGAGGGCAGTCTGGGCAACTTGGTGAGATCCTGGTGCAAAATACAGTAAAAAGGGCCCGAGGATGTAGCTCATCCAGTCTCTAGAAGCTCTCTAAGCCAGAAAAATTCTCACCCTCATGTGAATACCCACTTGGGTTTGTAACAGTTTCTCTGGTCACTCAGTTACTCTGTACTTTGAGGACACAGGCCCCATCTCACCCAACTTTGATTTTCAAAGCCCGCCACAGTGCCCCAGTACATTCCTGTCTACCACGGAGACCACATATGCATGCATCTAAGGCTCCACATCTCCTCATAGTGCACAGGGCGATGCCATGCAGGAGTGCACAGGGGAGGCCCATGGGTACGTGAAGAGTAAGTCAGAGGTCCCTGGGCAGGACAGTGCCTCGCAGTGGCTGGAGCAGTGCTGAGTCCTATGCCCAGGAAGAGGAGTGGGAACAGAAATGGAGGTAGATCACAGACCCCACTTAGTTTGTGCTAAGTCTACTTAGACACTGTGAAGTGCTTTATGAACTGCAAAATACTTGCCGTGCAGTCTTTTGCTTGTATCTATCTATTGCTAGGGTGCTTAGGGGAAGGGCTAGGAAGAGGACCTAAGGCACCATGGGCCGAGTCCCCTCCTGATGCGGATAGCCTGCTCAGCGCTCAGAGGGGAGGCCAGGGCTGTCACTGGTGAGCAGAGCTGGCTGCTGGGACACCCATGAGGGCCGGCGCTTTCCAGAGAGATGTGCGGGAACCTCATTTCCAAAGCAGGTTTCGTGCCTACCGTTTCTCACAGAGACACACCAGTATCCATAACAACATTTGTATAAAACACTTTTAGGAAAAGCAAACTTTTCTAGTTGCTACTAAAACAAACACCCAAAATGCCTGCAGAACCTGTGGGGCCAGGCAGCCAGTGCAGGCAAAGTGTCAGAGTTACAGCTAGAACGTGTTTTACAGGCTCGTCTTAATTTAAACTGTTTTATAGCTCAGTGAATCTTGCTTTATTTTCCTTGGCATCAGGAATTTTATACATTATGTGCGACTATAAATTAGAAATAAAATTAAAAGCAAAGTCATGCTTTAATGAACTCTCTACTGATACAAGGCAGATGTCTAAGAGAATCATTCTAGTGCCAGCTAACAATGAGTTCTTATTAAGCATTCTAAATATATTGGACTCAGCTATTTTAAATTCATCATGACCTAACAAATATTTAGGTATTGTTCATCCAAAAAAATTACAAGATTTTGGCAAAGGATTAATTCTAGATACTTACATTATTGAAAGAAGAAAAATACAGATATATACATTTCTATTTATATTAAGATAATTTTTCTCTAATTACTTTCTTACTGTTTTGGGAATAAGAATATTGATTTCATATATCAACACTGTTAAGTGAAGGTTTATAAGACCAAATGAATGTATAAATCCAATGCCCTTAACAACTATACAACCACTTTTTCAATGTTACTGCTTCTCACCTGTTTTAGACATCTTTACATTTTCAAAAGCTTATCTAAACTCTAATCATTTAATTTGCAAGTAAGTAATATCACAATGTGATCAGACTGGTTACTGCTTGGGTGCCAATAATCATGATATTCCAGTATGGGAATCTTAGCAGAATTAGGGACATTCTTAAAAGACATTCTTCAATTTCCTAAAGATCACAGAGATTAACATTTTAAACTGCCAGTTAATCTCCTTTCAATCTTCTATACTAGAAGAACATTCATGAAGTTATACAGTCAGATAATCTTGGTGACAGTTCCATGTAGAAAAAAACACAGATAAAAAAGTGAAACAGAGAATATGCAGTACTCACCTTGGAAATACTGTCCATATCTCCTGAGCCTAAAAAAACACAACAAGAGAGTAGTTTACTAGGTAAGGTTATCATTTAGAAAATACGCCTGAATACAGCCATATTAGACAGCAAATGAAAGGGATTCCTGCTTAACCACTGTCACCACAGGGCCATGAATTGGAACATCAGAGATCATTTATGCACCTTATTCAACTAAAATTTAAAAGTGTGCATGTAATTTATAAAGATATTGGTATCTACACAGATTTTTAGAAATTATAAAATGGAATACTTCATTTGTAGCAATATATGACAATATTTGGAACCATAATCTAGTATAAGAACAAACACAAAGTATTCTTAAGAACATTAAAAAACTGACAGCAATAAATATTCATAGTAAAAACTAAAAATGTCTCAAGATATAATATTGCATTTGATTCTTGGGAAAAATGAACAATCAATATTTTTTTCTCATAAGAAATTGACCCATATATTAAATAACAAATGATAATTTGCAACAATATCACTTTGTTTTAAACTATTTTATTTTCAACAATTTTCCTTTGAAAAATTGTATTTTTACAGGACAGCATTTAAACAACACTGCAAACAAAGTCAGTGCTTAACGCGATTAATCTGTAAACAAAGCGCTGCTTGTTGACCGCGTACATGGACCCAGGCCCTTGTGTAAATGTGTATGGCAGTGTTTGGCACAGACTGCACGAGCCAGGGGCCAAGTGTTCCTGAAACTCTTCTGAAATCCCATTCTGCTGAATAAACCAATGGAAAGCCTTCGACGACATCAAGATGTCATCTTTCTGTGACTAATTTTACAAGTGAAAGGCCTGGACGGCGAATGGTTTGGAAGCATGTGAGGGTGGAACCCATCTCTCGGAGGCCCCTGATGGCCCGCCAGCCTGCCATGTCCATGGGAGGACCGGCCTTGCAATTTGACTAGTGGCTGCTGCAGGGTGCGCAGGTCAACAACAACAACAAAACAGCACTTGGAAATTCAGGCAAACCAACGATGGCCCCTTAGAAGCAAAGGAGACTATCACTGTGCTGCCAGTGTTTGCAAATAAATTCTAGATTATCAAAGTTATATATATTTACAAAATATCAGCTGGAAGCATTTCCTGGCCTTGGATGGGGCCTGAAATCTATTTGTAACCTGAATTGTTCATAAGCATAGTTTGTTCAAGTTACGTAAATGATCCTAAAGGGCTTTTTATCCTGTCAACTTTTAAATTAGTTTCTGATCACATCACATAAACATGTACAAACAAGATAATACTTTCATTCAGACCGGCATTTGTTCTGCCTAAAAAAATAAAAAAATAAAAAAAGTTTGCTTCACAAACAGAAGGATGTGGCAAATTTTTGCTCTTGTGACAAGCATGATCACAGCCATCTTTCCCACACAAACACAAACACAAATGTGCACACCTCTTCCAAAATCAGGGAACAAATTACGTTCACAGGCTGGAGCACCACGGTAATGTGCATGGTGACCTACTCTATGTCACTATTCCAAGGCCCTTATTTACTTTGTGGGTACTTTGCTTCCTTGTGAGAAGCCATCATGAATGGCTTTTCACATCTCAGGACACACTTAGATCAGTTCTATCATGAAGGGGGTGTAAGCAGCGCTGTCTCCTAGGGGAAAAGCTCAGATAATCCAGAATAAGGTCACTAACACTGAGGAACCCATGCAGAGAACTGAAGTCCTCCCAGACTGTGTCTGCAGACTGCTGGAGATAAAGAAGCCAGCTGGGAAGACCCCGAGGTGCTCTGCGGAAGCACGTATGACAGCAGCACAGAGTGGCAGCATCTCCTCATCCCCAGGACACTTAGACTGGGACGGGGTCCCTAAGTTCCTGTGCCTACAGATGAGGAAGAGCACTTTTCACATGTCTAGTGAGCATGGCCAATGCGCTATAGATGAAATGTTCTGAGGCAGAAGCTGACACAGCTGGAGACAAAGGAACTGTGCACACCGTAACACCCATATGCAGAATTAAGGATCTTGTTTTTCATTCATTCTGTCCCTCAAGTTTAAAATCCTTACCTAGAGAGCCATTCATGTGATGCGACTCCATTCCTCCTAATCCACCCATGGGACCGTCTGACCCGGGACCCATTGGGAACTATGGTAGAAATGAAGAAAACGACCGTGAAGATCATGCTGAGAACAATTTTACCTCAGTGTTAAGAGTATCCATCTTGATATTGCAACTCATTTTCATTTTCCAACAGCAGTATTTACTTGATCTTTCTTCACCCTTTGGATTCTCTAGCTGGACTGCCCATTCTTCCACCTCATCCTCTTCGTGTTCACCCTACTCAGGTTCAACTTCACTTATGTCCGAATTTTTCTTGTTAAGATATCCCCCACCAGAAAGCATACATTCCAATGCAAACGAGAGGGTGAGCTGCCTCTCCTCTGACTCTGGCAATTTTTCTATACAAACATGAGTAGCTCTGAGAAGCTGCTGAGGTCCTGGATTATTGGGAAGAATACTCAGTGTCACAGGCTAACATCAACATTTCTCTTAGCGTGCAATCTACCTTTGTTCAGATGCACATAATAAACCACTTCACCATACAGGTTAAACACACGCAGCTCCTTACAGACAGCTGAACAGTGCTAATTCACCTTGGCAGTCTGGACTGTGTCAGCTTAACCACAGTCAAGTCTACAGTTTTGTGTAATGCTCTGCAAAGCAGTGGAATTTTCCTTCCTCTGCAAACGAAACCTTACACTGGAAGCCTGGTACAACATCACTGTGAACAGAGGGGCCAGAGTGGCGGAGGGGTCAGGTGGGAGCCAGTGGCCTGCCCACTCTGATTTCACCTTCCTTCCTTAGAATACTTCTGAGGAGACCCAGAGCCCTGTTTGAAGACAAGTTATCTGTAATCATCGCATGTTTAGGAGAAGGTAACCAACTGAAAACATTTGCTCTTCAAGGTTCTCCTATACAGGAATTTCTTCCATGCTCCATGGTGTACTTGTGTGTTTGCACGTGCATGTGTGTGTGCATGTGTGTGCAGATGGTATGGCTGCCAACCATAAAGGCTTTGGGGAAAACCTAGCCTTCAGGAGACAAGCCTGCATAGCACCACGGGTGTGTGGAGACATGATGACCTCTGTCACCTTCAGCATGTGTTCTTCATATGCTTTACACATTTTCCTGGAGTAACCACAATTTTGCTGCCTAAAACCGAGTATCTAAAAGCGTGTGGGTTAATTTTCAGTAAACTACTTGGAATATGCATGTCTTACTGCCAAGTCAAAGGGGACAACTTTGAACTCTGTGTTATTATTTAGCTCTTATCAAAGCATAGTTTGGATGGAGGCTGGGAAACTGGAGCTACAGCCCAACAGCAGGGAGTTTACAGGCGTGGTCCTTTGATCTGGCCCCAGGGTATATCAGAAGATTCTCAGACTCTAAGGGTATATACTCGGTCAGTTTAGCACATAGAAAGTGTATCTTCCCACTTTCCTTCAGTTTCAGTTACCCTGTGTGCATATGTGTTGCATAGTTACACACATTTATAGCTATATTGAGTTTATTGAAATTGCATTATAACTATGTTACAGTTATAGTTCGATTCTCTAAGTTATTCCATCATTAGTACTGGTAAGTAACTACTTTCCTAGGAACCTTTGTGGGAAACAATTACAGCCACATACTTTATAACAAACATGCAAGTTCTTCCTGAAGAACTTCCTCAGTTTCATATTTAAACCCTAGGTTTTATAAACCAAGTAAAAACAAGTATATCCAGCAATCTGTTTTCAAGTTTAACAGTATTAAAAACAAACTCACAATGGAGAAAATTTAGTTATGCCAAAAACCTGGCCAAAACAAATTACTTTACATAATTTTTCATTTAAAAATAATATTAATGTTTAAGCACTGAAATAGGACAAGATGAAAGATTAACATTTTGTAACTGATTAGGTTGTTTCATATTTAAATTATATTGATAGAAAATCTTTCATACATATTTGTTTGCAGTCCTAAGCATATCAACAATTTTTCTGATCTCCAGGAAACTCCTGGGTAATAAAATGTAATGCTTACACTATATATCCAGGAAGTGGAAGGAGTCAGAGTTTTAAGTCTGCAAGTGCATTTAAAAAGCGTACTTACATTAGGTCTGTTAGGTCCAGGAGGCACTGCATTCATTAAAGTATACATGTTGTCTCCAGAGTTGGTTGAATCTGAAACACAACATTACTTCATTAATATCTTTCTTTATAATTTACAGCCCAGTCATCGAAAAACAATAACTAAAGACGGTCTGGATGCCCTCAGATGCTGCCAGCAGCAGCGCCTGCGACAGTCAATGCTAATCTGGATACGACACTGCAGTCATTTCCTGACCCTCAAATTATCACTGCGAGGCCGTGAATCAGGTGTATAAGAAAAACATCAGAGGCCATGAATCAGGTGTATAAGAAAAACATCACTTTGATAAATCAGATCTGAGGAACATTACTTGAAAATATTTTTAGATTATAGTGAATTTTTCTTTTTTAGATAAAGCATGAGGTTTTTTTTTTTTTCACTTCTCCAAGCAATGACATGTAGATACTGGACTAAAATCTCTTAAAATCCAGATTCAGTAGCTTTTCAGTTTTCACTATTTTCTTAGGTTTCATGTACAGAAATTTTAAAAACAGGCTGAAAAAAAAAGCTTTGGTAGAATATCTTGGTTTAATTCCAGATGAAAGAGATTAGAACAAGTTCCACTGGAATGAAAGTAAAAGCCAGTGTCTTGTCACCATCTGAACTTGGATAATTTTTTTACTCATTTTATTGTTGATTCATTACAGTAAAATTACCCATGCAAATATATGGAACATTTTCTAGTATTTATAAAGTTCACATTTGATATCACCTAATTTTAGTGAAGTCTCTGAGTATGTGGTTTTATGATGTAAAACTCTGAGTGAAAGGTTACTTTACAGTGAGGAAATATCAATTTTGAAATATAGCTCATTTTCTTACAATCACGCACTTTTCTTAAGGAAACATAGTAGTACACCTGTTTTTTGGAAAGAGATGTATTTCAAAAGATGTGCCCTGCACTGACTCGAGACAGATGGCCTGGCCTGGGAGGGAACGGCAATCACTGCTGCTCCTTTTGTGGGACCCTATAGCGGACGTCAGCCACCTGTGACCCTACGGTGCCCACACCTCTTTCCAAGTTGGTACCATGTCATGCTCTGTAACCCTCGGGATTGCTTTTGTCTTTAGATGACAGCGCAGCAGTACTGATAAAGATGGCCCCTACGCTGCAGCCCTGCCCAGTCACTGTCCTGCCCTTCTCCATTCTCGGCACGAGGCTCCCCGTGTGTCCTGCCTGGTACCCACTTTCCAGCCCTGTGCTCTGCCCTCTCCCTCCGAGCTCCTCTCCCCAGCATCCCCTTGCTGAATTCTACTCATTTAAGGCCCCTTGTGAGAGTCACCTCTCCTACAGCTCTGTGTTCTGACATCTTGGGGTGCACTGGGCTCCTCACTAACAGAGCTCAGCTTGTGTTATGGGTAAGGTTTTATTTGTTGGGTTCACTTTTGACACACAGCTCTACTATCAAAACTCAGAGGGAAAGAAAACGTTCTTTGTACTTAACAAACTGGGTAAACGCTCTGCAAGGAAAGGTATCTTTCAGAAGGGCTAGGACATCTTTCCAAACAAATGAAACCTTTAAGTTGATTTTCAACTGTAGAAAATAGTCTTATTTTTTGTGAAAGGAAAAATGGTCTATATACTTCAAACATGTAAAATTGATAAATTTATCATTTTTAAGATCATCTGGAGAATATAGTTTCATTTTAAAAACAAAACAAAACAAAACAAGACAGGTCAGGAGATTAAGGTGGTATTTCCTAGGAAATATCTGAATTCTTTCTTATATGCAGAAGATCTTTGTAATAAAGTGGATATTCTGCACCAATTTTTGGTGCTGGGGTGTTGGCTTACTATTAGAGGGGTAACTATGATAAAAGATGAATATTAAAAACTATACAAAAACACTAGGAAGATATACTGGCAATCTCTGACTTCAAAGGTGGAAGTGATATGATCATTTACACCCTGAAAGTCCAGGGTTGTCCAAACAGTTTCACTCTGGAGTGAAGTGTTGGTTAATGAGTGCTGCCTGACAAATTCAACATGAACTTCCCAGCCTAAGAATGCAAGTGTGGGCATCATACAGTTCTACTTCAGTGACCTCTCATTTCACTTCTAATGAAGGTGCTTTCAGGATAGAGACCAAAAATATTGTAAATATAGTGCAAAGTGTGAGTGAAGTAATTATCACATTTGTTTTTTACAATGAGAAACTTCAAAACTTAAAAGCTATTGTTTACTGATGTTACTGATATTAGACTTAAAACATTCATATGCCTTAGATTTCAACAACCCAGTTAAGATGCCATGAACTAAGCAGCAAAACATAACTAAAAAATTATTCTATTTATAAAGGTTTACCATCTGGTTCATCAATCAGCAGTTATCACTGACAGCTTCGGCCTATTTCTCTTTTTATTCTTACTTTTCTGTTACACACACACACACACACACACACACACATATACATACACTAACGTAATTGGGACATACATGGGGTCATCAGCATCTATTTTTCTATGTCATTAAAAATTCTTTGATAATAACTTTAATTACATCATATCAAAAAATTAATTTCACTAAAATTGGACTTACGATTGAACATTGTGTCTACTGTTTCACTATTGAGTTGAATAAGTGAGCACCGGTGCACACACATCTTGAACTGTATCTCTAGTCACTGTTAGTACTGGGGTTGTAAGAGTCACAGGGCAGTAGCCCTTTCCTGGGTCTGTTACCTAATGAGCTTTCCAGGATGACCACCAATGGGAGCTCCCATCATTAATCTCCAACACATTTCAGAGTCTGCATTACAGTCTCAAGGAGAGACGATACAGTTACTGGAGATAATTATGTGAAATGATTATGGATATACTGGAATATACTTTAGAAGATTTTAAAAACTTTTCCTACTACATAGTAAATTTATTAACAGATTCTCACAGACATGTAGGATGAATTTACATGCATCTCAGGTGATAGATGTGGTGGGTCTGATTGGCTATTTTAAACCAAACAGATCTGTGGATTTAATGTTTTACTTCCGTAAAAACTGGCTAACTTAATGACATTTCTTAGTTTCAAGGAATCTTTAAATTGGGTAAATTATTGGGCAATTCACATAAGTCAACAGTTTTCACACTGAGTAAACCTGTTACTCACACAATAGAAATTTCTAAAAACTTAACTAAAAACAGTTGTTTAAAAACTGTACTTCTTTTTTCCTGCTGCCTCTCCCCAACTTTTTTAACCATTGTGAGACAATGGATATTACTAACTTTTTTGTGATTGTATTCTCCTAATCAAATGTTCGTGCAGCCAGTTGGATTACAATACCTGCTGGACTAGGCATGATGGGTGTTCCTGGTGGCCCTCCGCCTCCTGGGGGACCCTAAATAATTAAAAAATGTCAGGATAAATAAGGCATCTCATTAAGTAATGTAAAGAAAAAACTGAATACAAGTTAGACTTATCTCTATAGCAATCCAACTTTTTTAAAATAAAGGAACTCTTTTCTCCATAATTATTTTTTTGGCACAATCATTTCAACATTACCCATAACATAATTTAGCTTAACTATGCTGAGACTTTTTTGACAGGTTTCCAAAACCAAAGGCTCTGAAACACTGATTTATTATTCACAACTTCACCACAACAGGTGGAATGAGGTTAAGCAGAGCCGACTTAAAAGTCTTCACAAATTCATAAAATAGAAACAATTAATATGTACTTGTGATTTTGTTTACCACAATTTTCTTACATTTCATATCCCTGGTTCTTAAAGGAAACCAAAAAGTATTTAAGAACCGAAAGATAAGAACTGGGAGCTTGGCATTTTGTAAACTACACTGATGCTGTTTCCTCTGGACCACTAGTCAGTGAGGAGATGCAGTGTGGCCTCACTGTGGGCGCACAATTGAAATTCAGCCAGTGCTTCGAGGATGTGGGTTCACTCAGAGGCCCCTGGGTAGTTCAGGCAGTGGATTTCAGAACCTTTCACACACCCCAGCTGGTGACTGAATTAACTCTTAAGGGACAGAATTTTCACTTTATTCCTAGTATGTAAACATGAGTTCAGGAGTGCAAATGAAGCTTGCTAATCTAACTTCAGGTCTACAGGGCTTTCTGGAAAACAGCATGTATTAAATAATCATGAGAAAAATAAGTGTTCTCAACTTGTAAGAATGATACACTAAAAGACCCTTCCAATGGCCAGAATCACCTCGGGCTGGGAGGAGGTTAATGTCTCCTAGGCCCTCCCGTGGGGAGTGAGCGGGCCGGAGAGGCACCTCACTCTCCGGAAGAACTCCACATCCAGGTGCTTCCTTGCTGTAACCGGGATTCCCTGCTCCTGATCGTCTGCGGAGAAATGCGCCGGCTTCGAAACACACACCGCAGTGAACTGCGGAACGCTGGGCATTCTGGCCAGATTGATAACTGCTTCACCCATGAACATCAGCATACATACTGAGGACGGCAGAAGACATGACCCAGAATGCTCACTTCCTGGCCAACCCACTGGTGCTCTTCTTAACATCTGGACAGCTATGTCACCACTCCAATAAAACACAGTATCAATTCTTAGGAGCAAGCAAACCCGAATGCACTTACCACGTAATTCCCTGGTGAGGCTGAGGAGTAGGGGATCTAGAACATGAACAGGACAAGACACGGATTTTGATTCATATGGTGGCACGGACAGACTTTATCAGCTCTCAAAATGTATCACAAAGGACAGTAAAAGATAAGGAATTAACATCTGTTATAGTGACAGAGAATTGAGTAACTGCATATTATCTTCACTCTACAAGAATAAATGATGATTTTAGACAGAGGGATTTAGACAGTCACAGCTTCAAGCTATACTGGCTGTAGGTCAGTTGTACACACTGCTGGATACCAATGACTTATTCTGTAAATAGGAAGATAAATGCTTACAAAGGTAATGCCAAGAAACCAGAAAATTTTAAATTACTAGACTTGACAGACACAACTTCTACGCTGTGTACATTTAAAAAACAGTAGTTCACTGCATTCACGCTGTGTGGGGAATGCTTCCACTTTTCCCTTGTACCAGTCCAATCAGCAGGGCAAAATAAAATAAAATATAAGTGCAGGCCACAGTTCAGAATCAGGCAACAAATTTCCCTTTCCTCTCCAAATCAAGCTCTTCAACAAGCTCATTCACAGAGATTAGAGGGCATTAACACCACAGCGCTGTGATAATTTAAGAACTGACAAACTAGAATAAAGATAAATCTTTGAGTGTGGCTAGTGACAAGGAAAGTGAAATCCAAAGGTTTCCTTTTTCCACACCAGGTCATCCACTCACTGGGAGGAAGGCCTTGTGCAGCCTCGAGACACTTCTGCCTCATTCTGAAAGAGCCTTTGGTCCCCTCTACCTGGAGCCAGAGAGGGAGCCATCCCAGGCCTGCAGAGCAGGGACACAGTGAGGCTGTCCCTCCACCCATCGCCAGCCACACAATTAAACAATCAGCAACACGAAATCCCCGGGCAGGAAGGAGGACGGTGCCAAGGGCAGGCTCTCCTGTTGAGTAACTCTCTGCCTGTGTCCTTTTGCCCTAAGTAGGGACCCCGTTCCCCAAGGCTCTGCTGTGGCTGCCCAGCCCTGCTCGGTCCAGAGCCAACAGTGGAAAGGAGTACTTTGCTGAGAGCATGGAGCTCTTGGGCCTTTTGTGCTCCCTCCGTGTGGGGACAGAGGACAACTTTACCTCCTTGAGCTGACCAAGAGGGACCGAGCTGTGTGAGGGTTGAGCTGCTGACCGCAGTCTCTACAGACAAGACAAGGAGGGCTGCTGGATCTCACTCACAGGATTCCGGGCAGTAGAACTGTCAACCTCGAGACTCCGGACAGTGCTCTCCACTGCCAAGATTTACGGCCTAGAGAAGACTTTGACCCAAGCTTCCTGAGGTCCTGCTCGGCTTCTCACCTGGACCTCAGCTGTCCTTTTTCTTTGTTTGAAACCCAGTAAATGGATGGGTGCTCCAGAGGCTTTGTCTTAGCTCCTGGAGAGTCTGACTGCAAGCGACGGTTACATCTGTCTTTATGTGATCGTTGTCCATTAGATTTGGATCAGTCCTGATACACAATCGATGGACTGTGCTTCACAGTCCTTCAAAGACACGCACTTGCCCTCCCAAATCACCCATTCCTGGCCCCCTGGACTGTGCTCTCTCTGCTGGTCTCAGCACCCGGCTCCTGCCCTCCAACTGAGACCACTCTGAAGCTGCTTCGGGACAGAGTCCGTGGTCTTCCAGTACTTCAGGCCCCCTGTCCTGTTTTGGGGTAGGGATTCAGCACCCCTGGTACAGAGATCGGAATGATTGCTCCTCTCCACGACACCCACAACAAGCAATCTAATCCCCACAGTTCCATGTCCTGATTCCTCCATGCTTACTTGGGCAGTTCTTTCTCAGCTGGTTTGTGACTAAGGCACCTCTCTGCCTCCCTCATGCTTCCCTTTCTCTCTAATACCTGAAACTGTTACCCTAAAGCTACTGTTACTTCTGCTTTCTATGATCGCCTCTGGGCCAGCTTCCCTGTTTACAATCATTATTTCTCCATGAAAGACCTCAGCAAGGGGTGGTGCTGAGCGGGTGGGATCCCTTTAAACGTTCCAGATGGTAGATCTCAAGCTGTGGGTGCCACACCAGCTCTTGGGGTTCCTCGGTATTCAGCATCTGACTCCTGTGAGCAGCTCTCCTGACAATGAAACTGTCCTGTCGGGACAGTCAGGCCTGCTTCGCACACCAAAACCAAGTTCTCCCAGTTCAACAGTGTGTTGGTTACAGATTTAAGTTTTCATTTGTCCATCCAGGTAGAAACAGAAAACCAAACTTCCTGCTTGTCTCTAAAGCCAGCTCCTCCTAACAATCTCATCTTTTGAAGTCCCTGTAACTTTCATATTTTTAATTTTTCTTCCTTATGCTCCATCAAGAACAGCAAAATATAATTTTTCAATGCTTTCAAATGCGTGCTATTCTGTTCAGTTTCCAGTTTCTTTCCGTTTTGGCTCAGGCAAGTTTCTTGATGTCACGCTCTACTGTATCTACTCTGCATTCCTAGTGACCTGACTTAGCAGCGTTTGGAAACCCTGCTCCTGCCAATTTTCTGGAACCTGCACTCTTCACAGTCACCAGCAGGATGTGACAATACAGTGTGACTGATGTGGGGTATTCTGTGGGCACGGGACATATTTGCACAGGGCAGCTAGGGCTTACAGAGTCTGCGTCACAGAGCGTGAGAAGAGTTGGTGAGACGGTGGGAGGGAAGAAAGGACCTGTGAAAGTACACAGCTCTGTGTGGAAATGCTCCATCGTTCTCATGGGTGGAGGAGGCTGTGGTGAATGATGACGCTGCATGGCCAGAGTAGGCCTGAATGTGAACTAGAGAGGTGAGAAATGAGTCCAGGAGTGACCAGAGTTCAGAACCAAAGACAGAGCTTCAACTGAAAGAACTCCATTTTTGTCCTGGAGACAATATCTGAGCTAGAATTTCACTGAATTTTGTGATAATTAAACCATATAAAAACATCAAAACAAGCAGCAGTCCAAGAATGCAATTAGAAGATATCACCAGTGAGAAAGGGTGGATATGACTGACTGACAATTGGGGGAAATCAAGGAGTAGCTGGCTGGGAAAGAAATAAACCAGATTCATTCTTAAGGTCAGGCTTAGGCCTGGTCACCATTCTGAGATGACACACCCAAAAATAAACAGTCCAAAGGAACACTGCAGTGACACTATGGAAAAATAAAGAAATGCTACCAAATGAGAACAATAAATGACAGACACTTATAAAAACCCTAGCAATCAAATGCTCCAGAGGTCAGTCTGATGAGCACTGGATGGAGCTCTCCTGCTTGACTGGAAATGGGCCCTGTGCCCTTCAGATCAGGGCCTTGCAGGGAGTGGAAGTGGGCTGGCAGGGTGGCTTCAGAAGCCTCATTCCTCATTGTGCACAGGGCTCCAGGCGCTGGACTAGCACGAGAAGACAGGAAAGACAGAGGCCAGCACTCCTGGACTAGTGTGGTGGTGGCCAGGGAGGGGACAGTGAGGGCAGGGAGGTGGCCAGAGACTGGGGAGCTTGTGAGCAGCTGTCTGCCACCCAGCCCTTCTGGCTCTGCAGGAGTGTGGGCCTGGGGCTGAAGGCTGCCTTGGGATTGGTCCGTGGGCTCAGCATTGGGGACGGTGCCAGTCAATGGGAAGGGACAGAGGAGAGGCTTACTTAGAAGAGTGAGTAAGCAGGGCACTGGCAGAGACATGAATGCAGAAAGTGGGAGTGTTAGCACTTGGGATGGGGTACACTTCTCTGACTGAGGCAAGAGAGATAACGAGGGCCAAAGCTCTCACTTTACCGAGGTGGAGGGGATAATCTGAGAGACTCAAGTCGAGAGGTCTTTGTTATTGTTCTGTAAAATACAAGACAATTTTAGTCAATAGAGAAGGGCCCAGAGATAATGCAAGGGCCACAAAGTGACGAATAAAGACTTGTAACAACCGCTGAGGAAAGCAGGAGAAGCTGACCAAGCGATGTACACTACCCTGCTGGTCGACGTCAGACAGCGCTTGGCTGAGCCTCAGCATCATGGACTGTAACACAGCACATTCAGGGTGACACAGAGGGGTGCACCAGACACGGTGAGAGAACCAGCAGGGCTCGGCAAGTTCACTTCAAATGCCTTCAAAACCCACATGCTCCTTTTCGACTCTCTAAAGGGGGCTTCTCCCTACATTACTAGTTCTGCTATGCTATTATCGTTTTCCCAAAAACGCAGATGCAAAGACTAAAAACCACCTTTAAATTTCTGCTTTTTTTGGTCCCTGAATCTTCAGTCTCACTCTGCCCATACTTCATAAAAAATACTATTATGGTGAGATGAATGATAAAAATGGAAATGTAGAAGATAAGCAAAATCACAGATGGAAGGTCAGAATGATAAAACTATACGAATCTATTGTTTGACAAATGAGAAAATTAAGGGTATTATACCGTCTGCTAAGACAGACTGAAATTCAAGAGCTGCCACGAGGATCCAAATATCCGGAACTGTTCCGAGTCCTGACACCCACAGCCATGGTACTGCAGGAAATGCCCAGGAAACCTACTAGAGCTTTGTTTTTTAAGGACCAGTGAGACTTTGGCTCCACACTTATATTCAACTGGGAAGCATCGACCCGCCTCATGCTCACTGGTTAACTTGAAATCAGGAAGGGCAATAATAAAACATTATTGGTGCCAGTGGAAAGATAAAGCAACTCTACTTTTTAGTGCTCTTTTAAAAAATGAGCCTCTACTTTACACAGGAGCAGCCCACCTGGCGAATATATTAGTATTTCCCTCTGATCACCAGAATACAGTAGAATCTCCTTTTCTCCATAAAGGAGTGCCGTTTCTCCTCCTGCCACGCTGGCAGGCCACTGAGTGCAGTGCCACCCTGAATGTCCGCTGCTCCCTCGTCTGTGGTGAGGCAGACCTGTTACTTTCATGCCACATGGCATGGAGGGGGCAGGGAGCCGGCACACGACCAGGACAGCAGACAGCGTACTGCACTGTGGTTCCACGCACGAGCAGGGGTTACTTTCAGTTCTTTTGCTTAGCTGCTAGAGTTCTGTTCTGTCAGGGTAAACCCGGAGCTTCCTTTGGCTTCTTACTCTGATGAGGGGAGAGCAGCTAGGAAACACACAGAACTAGGGGCCTGAGGACCTGACTGGAACCCTTGGGAGCAACTGTATCCAACGTCACATTGAAAATTAGACTTTTCAATGGTGCAATAATGTTTTCCCTCAGAATGAATCTAGTTGGGTTGATTTTCTGTATTTTTTAATCAAAAGCATTTATTTTCAATAAAAATGCTTGACAGTGATTAGAACTTGCTTTACAGCTGGGTATGGTAGTGCATCACTGTAATCTCAGCACTCAGGCAGGAAGATTGTTATGCGTTCAAGTCCAGCTGGACTATATAGCAAGACCCTGTCTCAAAAAAAAAAAAAAAAAAAAATAGAACTTTCTATAAAGCCAAAGCACACACAATTTCTTATTAAAAAAGACAAAAGCGGAAAAACTAGAATTGGCAGATTTATAAGTAAACCTCTAGACAAGAATCTCAGACTAAGAAGTCTCACACTCAGAGTTAAAGAGACTAAAAATAGATACTTTTATTCAGAATTAAAACATGGACTTGGCTTTAGAAATGTTTCCCTTGCTGATATATAAAAGTGACAAAAAACAATTTCAAGACATTTTCACAGGACGATGGCAGGCCAGTTTGTCCTCCAGAGACAGAGCACAGACTTGGCCGGAAGGCCAGGGCAGGGTCTTGTGTGGGCCAGAACTGAGGCACCCGGCACACTCCCTCTAGTGCCAGGGCCTTGGGCTTGGGTGCCTGCTGTGTCTGTTGGCTCTGAGTGCCTCTCTCCACATCAGGGCCGTCTCCAGGACTTGGGCCAGGACAGCTCAGGGTGAGCTAGGGCATGAAGGGTGCACTTTGGAGAGGCCAGGTGGGCCAGCCTGAAGGTTCCGTGGCCAGACCTCGGTCCATCCTACACCCACTGCACATGACACTCCACATACACACCTGTTACCCAAGACCAGGAAGGGGGACGACAGGCTAGCCTTTGCTGCAGGAGAAACCACCTCCCCCAGGAGCAGGACAGGAGAAAACAGAAAATGTCCATTTGACAACCAACCAGGTTAAATAAACCAGGCAACTCATATAAGAAACATCAGTGGATGTTGCAAATACCTGATTAAAGAACAAGGAGAAACAGGCTGTTTCCTGTCATTCTGTTTGTTTGCTTTTCTTTTTTTTTTTTTTTTTTTTTTTTTTTTTTTGTTTTCGCTTTCTCTTTTTCTAAGACAGGTCTCGTCACATAGTTGAACTCACTATAGATTACAGGCTGGCCTCAAACTTACATCAAATCCTCCCTGTTCAGCCTCCTCAGTGATGCGATTACAGGTGTGCACCCCCACACCCAGCTCTTGCAGTTTTAAGTGTATTTGCAACTTAGTAATTACCAAGGGGAAAACAGTTTTGTGGTTTTAGAAATCTGATGAGGAAGGCCTTGACCAGTGTTCAAAATTAATTGGCCAATTGTGAGCCACCTGGTTGGTACCTCCTGAAACAGTGCCCCCGAAAGGCTACTTCTGTGGTGTTTCTACCAAATTCACATAACACACGTCTGGTCACGAGGATGCAGCGTGTGAGCTAGGCGGTGGCCATTCTGACGGCTGGCTGTGTGGCACGGCCAGGGAAGAGCTGCAGCATGGCTCCTGGGCCGAGGCAGAGACACAACGGGTGGACGCACAGGACAACAGGGGCTTTCTCACCAGTATTATGGGACAATTGGTAAAATCTGAAGCAGGTCCGTAATTAGGACATTGCATTACACTGGAGTTTATTCTCTTATGACTGCTTTGGAATTAGGAGAGGATATTTTTAGGAACACACACTAAAGTATTTAGGAGTAAAGTTTCAGAAAATGTTGCAGATATCAAGACAATGGTGTTTCTACAGAGGGCGAAAACGGTAAAGGGAATGTGTCACCATGTCACTGCATGGGGAAAGGAGCTTGGGAACTCTTTGCATCACCCTTCCAAGTTTTCTTGGAAAATGAAAAACTTAGTAAGCAAATATGTGAAATATGTGAAAACAGTAATAATCAAAAGCCCTCTTTACCATGCTGCCTGGACAATACAGATGTCCTCTCCCAGAACACACCAGAAAGTGTCTGCAATGTTAAATGTGCATGGCAAGTGTGTCAGCGTGACACTCTGAACCTGGCTGAGATCGCACTCCTGCCACTGCTTCCTCTTCTGTGGCACAGTGCCCCGTGCCCAGGCCAGAAGGCTGCCGGTGTCCTTGACTTCTCCCCGTTCCTGTTGCCACTGGCACACTCAAGGCATGGCCGCTCTTTCCTTGTCCACATGGCTGGGGGCTCCATCCCCTCACCTGTGTGGCCCGGACACCTCCAGGCCTGCTGCTTCTCTCCTGTGTGCTGGCTGCATGCTTGTTCCAGACTGACCTCAGACGGCAGTATGGTGCACACCGTTCTAAGCTAGTGCCTAGTTTTGCAGGGTCATTGCTCTGAGCCACTGGTCTGATAAAGAACATTCTCCAGCCACAGTGCTAGGCCCTGGGAAATTCTCAGGGATGGGGGTCATCCCCTAAGGACTAACAACCAGCAGCACACAGACCCCGCTCCGCCACATCTGTGGAAGATTCTGCAATGTTCCTCACTTCCAGGACAGAGCCTGTTCCTAGGATCCCCTCCCCAGAGGCTGCTGGCAGTGAAGCTCTGACTGAGCGGATCTCAGGAGGTGGTGCTGAGGTGGGCAGAGGAGGGGAGCAGGGTCGGTGGGGAATCACTTCCAGGTGGAAGACCGAGCAGCCGCAGCTATGGTGGGACGAGTGCTTTTCACTCCTGTCTCATCAAGCAGACAGATAACAGAAATGCTTTCCACACTACAGTACTAGCAACATTGCCTGAGCTATTAGTATTGCAAAAAAGGTTCTGCCACACCCTTACAGGCATTTAACAGGAAGTTGAAAGAAGCATATTTTGAATTAGGAAGAGGTCAGCTGGTTAAGGCAAAGAGCAGGCAACTTATTACACGCAGGCTCTTATAAGGCATGGAAGTAAACAAAAGAATTTTGGAGGTGTGGAGTTATTTACAATAGGACCCGACCCAGTGAGAGGATCTTAAGACTTTTGAAGAGTTCACTGAAGAGCCGAGCGCGAGAATCATCGCTTCCACCTCAAACAAATCTCACAGCTGTCAATACCATGAGAAATATGGGAAACGTAGTACTTTTCAACAAATATGACAGGTATTTCCTTCACTAAGAAGAATGACTTCTGCCTTGGAATATTCCTGAAATGGTCTGGGATGGTTTTCCCTGTACTGCACGTGCCTCATTTTCAGCATCCTTGAAGTTTATTTAACCTTAGACACAGATGGGGTTCTGGCTGCTCTGTGTGGCAGCCCTCCAGCAGGTGCGACAGACCCCCTCGGGACACAGCTCTCTTCGGATCGCCTGCCACCTGCAGGCTATCCACTCGCCACGAGGGCACACACACACTGGGCTCCGTGTGTGTGGACTCGAGAGTTTAGTCAAGGAGAAGAATCTAGGGTCAAAAAACTAAAACTGCATTAAAGACTGGCAGCTCCCTTCTCAGCCTGCACATATACTTAGGCATCATTTAAAAACTGTGCAGTATAATCACTGGCACAAAAATACAAAGGCCACTCCAAGAGTGTCAGGAAGGTAGAGATGGGAGCGCAGAGACTTAGCCGCAGCACAGAGGCTGGACACTGGGACTCTGGGCAGCAAGGGCGCGACCCGGGGTGGGGCACACAGACACACCTCTGCCTCAGCCCGGCTCCCTCTCCTGGAGAGTGTGTGTGCATTGGCGACCTTGCAACTCTTCCAGTGCTCACCAAGGACGAGCGGCTGTGGGAGACCCCATCGCTGTGCGGACAGTCACTTAGCCACACTCCGGGGCTCCACTTTTGAAGGTCTCTAACCAACGTGTTCACGTGCACATTAGCTCTTGCAGTGAAAAAACCACATAATCTCAAAAATAATGTACACTTTCCAAAAACAAATACACAAAACTTCTTTTTGGGTGATTAAAGAGGTGAATACAATGAATTTTAATGTTTTTAAAGCAACAGATTTTTGTTGTTTTTGTAAAATGTTACCAAGAGAAAAAATAAAAAGAATTACATAGATACTCACTGAATTGGCATTTGTTGGGTTTGGCCAAGGTCTGCCACCACCTGGACCCCTAAAAATAGTAAGATAAATGAAATTTTAAACTATGATTTTAATACTTTATAAGTTACATATAGAAAATCATAAAATACTGTTTCTAGTTTAGTTACTATGCAATTTTAGTTCAACAGGGAAATTATTTTCTTTATATTTTGATGGCTTTTCTTATTGCTTAAATAAAAAGGTTTACCATTCCATGAAGGTTTTCTCCCAAATCAAACTACTTTTAATAAGGCCAGTCTTATTTTAACATTTTTATTTTTATGCACAAGAATATTAATCACCAATATCAATACATACATGTAAGTCATTATGCCACTTTTGCAGCAAATGAAGTTGACATAAACTATGATATAAACATAAGAACTACCTGCATCTCATTTATGTAACTTATTTGGGAAGTATGTCTGTCTCCATTAACCTACACAATGACTGCTCTTCCTGAGCTATCAATAAATGGGTATATATAAAGGGGATTTAACATTGCGTTCTTTTCAAAAAAATCATGCAGTATCAAACATCACCTTATAGAACTATATGTCAATGTATCTTTTAGTGCCAGATAACTTAGTTAATGTGAGGGAATCCTTTTCTTATTTTCATAATTCTGGTTTAATGCAGTGGCTAGGAAGAACCTTAGAAAAAAATAAGGACATTTATGCTAAAGCCTGCCAATGTATTACCTCATCTCAGGATGGGGAGTGTTTTGTGTGCCATACCTTATAAGGACATAAATGTTTTAAAACAAAGTTAAAGGCCAGTTAGTTAAATCAGTCTTATTCTCACGCTGTAGTACTGAGTATTCCTGAATACTGTCTTAGGAAAAGCAGACTGATGCAGCAGTTCTTCTGCATTTAGGATTATTTGAAATTCCTTTTTCCTCTAATCATGAAGATAGTGAAAAGACTGATTTTAAAAAGAACACCCCTCATTCTAGAACCCGTAAGCCTCAAGGTTACGTTAGATGAAGAAGCTGTCTGAGTAAGCTGTCACTGTACCCATGTCTGCCTGGCACAGTCAGGGCTTCCAGTTTTATTTCAGGTCCTTCTGGAGTCTGTGCAGCAGGAAAGGGCCTGAGTTCTGTTCCCAGGAGCTGCTAGGAAGGCCCAGCACGGCTGTGCCCACCCTGACCTGCAGACCACGGGAAGAAGGAGAACTGGATGGCAACAGTGGGTGAGAGGCTTTCGGGCGGCTCAGGAGGCTGCTGCCTGTCTAGAGTGGTGATGACGGCCTGAAAACTAATACTGAAACATTTCAGAACGGGGGCTTCACATCCAGAATTCATTGTCCTAAGGGACACGGAGTATGGTGAAACAGGGTGCGTCTCCATCAAGGGAAACACTGATGGAGTTAGACCAGGCCATGTGATTTGTTTGATATAAAATAAAACACAGGAAACTGGGAAATATTTATGTTAAGATAACATTTTAAAAAAAGCTGTATCATTGCTAAACGATAATATATAAGTAATGAGCTCAGAATTTTGAAACATGATTGAATAAATACTGTATGAATAAGATATACTAGATGTAAAATATTTTATTTAAAAACCTGTCTAATAAATGAACATGCTAAATTAAATGTCAAAATAACCAGAATTTTAATTCAGTTAACATTAAATTAAATGTCAGATTATTATAAATAGTATAGAATTATTTTATGCATTTCAATTGTCTACTAAATACTAATCTAGTCTGTGTACCATGCATTTCATACTAAATTTCATTTTAATATTACAAGATTATGTAATAAAAATGATGTGCAAACATTTTTCCCAGACAGTGCTGAATAAAATGGGAGCTATATCGTGAGCAGTTTGCATGGAACAAGTACTTAAAACTCTGTAACTCCCTTCCTTTTGTAGTCATCAATATTGCCAAGAAAATAATCTACATCCACATTAGTTTGAAGGGAAATTTTTACGTAAGTATAGTCTGAAGTAGAGTTAGGCCAGTGTCCGTTAAAAATAACGAGAAAAATTTAAAAACTTTTTCGTGGTACTGAAGGCTGAACCCCAGGAATGGTGAGTCCAGCCTGGTCCTTGTTAGTTTTATTTATCTTACTTGCTAACTTTTGAGAGGCTGCATGGAGCTGGTTGGGCTGGCCACCCACTCCCCCCATCCTCTCAGGTAGCTCTGGCCACCATACTCAGCTCAGACGTGCAAAAATCAAAAAGAAGCCTGTATTTCTCAGCACAGATGCTGACTTTGATGGAGTCAAAGCAACTATGACCACCAAAGAAAAAATCCCTCTTTTCTTCTGTAACTCACTGTACACACTTGATTCCTCTACAGGCTAAGGTATAAAACAAGAAGATCCTTGAAAATCTTTTGTCCTTTAGTTTCCATGAAATAGCAAGATATAAAAAGTTGAGATGGAAATGTATTAATACTTAACCCTGATTTCTTTGGAAATTTGTAAAAATGTAATTAATTTAGAAGTGTACCACTATTCAAGTTTCTTTGAAAATATAACCTATAACACATTTCAAAACATTTACATTTGGGACATGGTTTATAAATTCTATTTTAAATCACTTAAATATTAGGATTTTACTTCTGAAGATATAATGCCAGTTACAGAAATGCTGAGGATAAAATTTTTAATTGAACTTTGTGGAATTCAACCTGAGTTTAAAGCACACATTTTTTTGGGGGGAGATCACCAATATTTTTTAACAATAAAGTTATCAAAATTTTGTTCCAAATGGTCTGTTTGGCAACAAAAGGACACCTTTGCTGTTGGGGTGCAGTATTTACTGGAATCACTGTGGTGGCCAGCGTCAGGTATTTTTGACTGTCATAGTCTTAAAGCAAATAATAAATGACAAACTAAGTAAGAGGCATCCAAACATGATTTTTCTGGACTCCCAACACACAAATATTTTAAAATAGTTTAAAGGCACAGGCCAATACCATTCTGATATTTCTTACCTCAATTTTTAAGTAGGTCAACATGTAAAAGGTAAGATAGTAACAAAAGACCTGGAGAAAACCACTGATACTAGTTCAAAGCACTTGTCTTTCATTAGAGACACACTCTGTTTTAAAGATAACAAGCTATTACGTGAATTTTAATTAAGCTTACTCTACTGAGTGTAATACACATAGAATGTGTTTTATTTTTTATGTTTTTTAAATTAGTTTTTGCTTTGTTGAGGCCATTATCAATACACTAATTATTCTCTCTGGTTGCCATATTTATGGGAAGTTTCTAAAGAGGAAAATATTTAATTGTGTAAATAAGTAAACTTACATTTTTCTTATTTTTGAAGGAATTTTAATGTGTAGAAAATGGAAAATGGTATAAAACTCCAGAAAAAAGGAAACAGTAACAAATAACAGAAATCAGTCTTTAAGACTTAAAATTTTGTTGAGAACCAGAAATTATATTAATAGTAAAATATTCTATGATTGAAAAACTTTAAAAATATCTTGAAATATTTAAATGAGAAACCCACACTCAAATAGCAACAAAACTAATCACAATTAAAATTTCATCCTTATTTTTAGTCTCTGTAGTCTTAGGGATTTGAATGTGCTTGTAACTGTACACATCAGTACGCACACAAAAAAAGAGAATTAGAAAGGAATTAGGTATTTTTAAGCAGCTACCTGGGTCTCTTAATGATTATCTAATAAAATCTGTGCACTCATAGGAACAGGCTGAGCTAAAGTTAGACACGTGCCCATTAGAGCGTAGCATAATATACAAAATGGTAGTAGACACATCTTAATATCATTCTGGGCTTGCCATATTCTTATTTATACTCCTTAAAACAGGCTTCCCTTAAAAATGAAAATCTCAGGTAAATTTTATGTGTTTCTTCAACCCATTGATAACAGTTTCAGCTTTAGACATGAGCACAAAATAGCACTCATTCTTTTTTTATAGCAACCATTAATAAAAGACTTTGAGAAATTTAAGAAGAGCCAGACTTTGTCTCTCTCCATTTTTATTTTAAAAGTGAAAAGATGTGCTGGGCCGTTTTGACCCATTTTCTCCCTTCCCTCTTGTTAGTTTTGTATCTGGCTGGTGTGCAACCTATAATCCATTTCAGGCAAAACTGCATTCCCTGACAGCAGTTTTAGAAACTTTAAAAAAAACACCCTATATACATCGAAAGCACTTATTTCACAGGCTATCTTTAGTGCCACTAAATGACAGCAGCTGTCTACTTTGACATGTAGCTAATTAAAACGGGACTGATATAAACTGTGTTTGAGGAAACAGCCACGGGAGACAGTTCCTTCTGGGAAGTCCTAGTTCACATGATGGAACGGTCCTCCAGTGAGCTAGGGAAGTCACTGGCAATCACCTGGCACACATGTGACTCTGAGGGAGAGCTGCACAGTGTAAAATATCCCCAACAAACTGCCCTACACTGGCCGACAGAAAGGGCCTATTCCATTTGGGTATGAAAGGTCTTTCTAAAAACATCTTTGAGTTGACTCTTTACAGCCTTCACCCATGGCAAGCCCTTTAACATACGAGACTGTACCGGAGAGATTCTGGCTGCCTTGAGTGTGGCCCCAACAAAGAAAATGTGAAGGAGGAGACGTGTGTGCAGCTAATCACTGCGCTGCGAGGACCGGCCTGTGTCTGCCAGAACCAGGCCCGCTAAGTGGTGGCTAAGTGGTGTTCCTGGTCAGCCGCTCTTCACACTCCTAGAGATGCTCTGCAGACACCATGTGGTGCGTACAAAGCAACAGGACAGAGGGGTCACGTGCGGCACCTGGAAACGGGAGATTCAAGGTTGGCAAAAGAAAACGTAAAAAATTAGGCTGTGGCAACTACGCAGACAGGGCAGCTCACGTTCAGCTACACAGGGACAGAGGGCTCAGACTGCTTTACAAATGGTGTCACCTCAGGAGACACAGAAGAGACAACACAATACCGTACAGAATGAGAGAGCGCTTTGCTTACATGTTCATGCCAGGCATCCCGGGGCCACCTAAAGCATTCAGTGGGGGTCTCATTGCACCTCCATAGTTCTGTAATGATAACCAAGGGTCAGACTACCACAAAACAAAAAAACAAAACCAAAGAGGAGGGGGGAAGAAAGGAGAGCAGGTTAATGACTTCCCTACGTGACTCCCGACTGGCTGAGGCCTGCGCAATTCATGCTCTGAAGGTCCACTCGGGACTTTTGCTTCTATCTTAAAAATTACTTTAGTCTGTATCTTTAAAAAACTACGTGAATATGGACAATCACAAGAACATGTTAAATGATTAAGGTATTAATGTTCAACGTTTTTTATAAACTTCCCAACACTGGCTCACTAGTGAGCTTTTCACCTAAAATATTTCATAAATCTGAAATTGTATTTTTAGAAAAAATTATATTCAAAGGGCTTAAAATTGTCAGACCCAGAATAATCCTATGAAGTCTGAAGAAAAGAATACAAAACAGGTAAACCCAATTCAAGAAAGCTGAATATGAACTTCTCACAAAATCCCAATCCAACACAGAAATGCATGAATACTTACAAATACACAAAAGTACGTGTAAACTAGTGCATGCTCAAAATATACAGGCGTGAATTATATGACTGAATGAACTTCAATTAACACCTACTATGTGCAGTCATAGGGGGAAAACGTCAGTGTTTCAGCATGTGCATCATGTTAGCTTCATGTAGCTGCCACAGGGCTGGTAAGTGACTGGTCACCACCATGTCAACGTGCTCTGACATTCCGCAACGCTCACACTCGGCTGATACTAGGCTTCCTCCTATTCTTCTGTGTGTGTTTTTCACTTTTTGCTTGAATTTTGCTAACTCTTTAAATATTGTTTCCCTCCAAGGTCTGTCATGTTCTTCTTAATAAATACACTTACAGGTGCACAGCAGGAATCCAGAGGCTCATACTTCACTATCATGGACTCTTGCTTCTTGCCGAGCTCATAGATAGCTCATGTGTTGGAAGCCACAGAACTCAGGTCTCCCTGGCCACCGCCCCCCTGCGATACACCTCACAGGACACCGGGGTCATCTCAGCCTGTCCCAGCGCTCCACATTGCCTTCCACACCGCAGTGCGGCCCAGGCCTCTCCAGAGCTCTCTGACCTTTCTCCCCTTCCTTTCCATCCCACATTCAGTCAGACACGGAGTCCACCGACTCGACCTGGGAAGGGCGCCTAGAGCAGGGCTTCCCTTCTGCCACTCCCCTTTGCAGGTCCTGGGACTGCTGCTCCCCCATCTCTCCACTGCCCTGCACTCCCTGGGCTCCTGGACAGGCCTCCAGCTAAGGAGTGGGAGCTCTCCAGCGAGGCCCTGGGTCTGTCTTCTCCGCCCCTTCTCCCAGGGTCCCCTTCCTTCTACTTCCCACAGTGTTCCCCTAACCTCCTGGGCTTCTGCGAGTTCAGCATCACCCCGCACGCTGCCATACTCATGCTAACTCTCTTCTTTGGCCTTTCTTTTTGTAATAAGTGCTAAGACCACAAAGACAATAAAGCAACAAAAAAGGGTCCTTTAACCCCAGAAAGACTCAGTAGGTGAAATCCCTTGGTGGTATGCTACTCTCACTTGCTTTCACTTCAGGAAATCTTAATTAGACATCCTGGTTTGGGTGCTGTGGACGCGGGGTGGCCCCCATCCACACTGGAGCCACTGAGTAAAAGGACCACCACTCCCCTCACGCTGGCTCACCCAGTGACACCGGTAGCACTAGCACGGGGTTTCTGAGAAAAATGATGCTCGATGGAAACAAAATGGAATGGTAAATTAAACCAGAAATACTGCACGAGAAAACTCTCTCCTTACTTTTTAGGCTTAAAAGACCGGTGTTTTATTTTACCAAGGAGAACATTACTTTTCTTTATAGCTTTGGACATAGAAGTGCATTGGTTTGCATGTCTGCTCCAACAACGGAGTCCCTCACCCTCTTTCCTTTATGTGTGATCTTGGGCCCATGACTTCTTCTAGTGATAACCCAATTTTAGTTCCCTTATCTATAAAGTGATACTATTATCTTCCTGAAAGAAGGATGAGATACATAGCACCCATCACTGATGGTCCTCTTGGTAAAAACTGTAGCCACTGAGTCTTTCCTCCCCCGTTAATACAGTGTACATGGGTACTCTTCCTGTTGGCTTCTGCTCCCTCAGTGCTGATAGATTTACCTGCTGGCTTATGCAGTGCCTCTTTGGTACATCACAAAGAGCATGCACACTTCCTCTCTGTACTCTTTCTGTGGTATGACAGTGTAGATGCGCCTGTGTGTCTTGCTAAGCAGTAAGTACACTAAAGACAGAGAGTTTACTTACCATTGTACACTTAATGCTCAAGCACAATGTTTGGTACACAGTAGGCCCTCAACAAATGACTGCCTAATTAAACTGAATTGTCACAGCAAGTGAGTGAGAGATTATTCAAAACTGTACATACTTGATAGATTTAGAAAATATTTTCATTTTGTGAATCATTTAAAGCAAAAAGAAATTAGGGAGAAAAGAAAGAGTAACAACTGCTTTCCAACAAAGGCAGACTGGGAAGAGCTAATTTAGAATCACTGAATTGCCAAGCTGACAGCAGCAATGCAGTTCCATCTGGTCTAATCTCTCTTCCAATGCAGCGTTCCTGAAAGAAGGGTGGTTTGGGCTCTGCTTACTTAGAAGGAGACATCTCTCCACAATGGACAGTTTAATTTCTAGGAAGTTTTTCCTGCACTGTGCTGAAACCTAGCATTATGTTAGATCTAAAAACATGAAATCAGTTTCCTAGGTGAAATGGTAAAAGGAAAGCCTAACAAGCTTCCTCATTTCCTGGCTTCTCTGTCCTGGCGATCTGATTGGGAAATCTTACTTGATTGTGACTGTAATTTTTATTAGTCCATGTTTGCAGTGCGTCTGATCATATTCATTGTGGGGAATCAGGGCCTGTGCAGGATACACCTTCGTTCTTTATCCTTCAGATTCCTAGTAGAACTAGAAATAGGTACTTGTAGTGAATTTTCCTATACATCACCTGACGCCTTGCTGAGTTTACAAACCCAGGATAGCTAAGTGTATCTTATTACAAAAGCAAATAGAAAGATGACTTTGAATATGTTATTAGACCTCTTTTCTTGAATACATAGATTTTTTGCTTTTCCATTGAGAGGATATTGAAATCAGTTTGAAGCCATGTACGTTACTATACTTAGTTCCAGAATAGATGAAGGGATGGGAAATACATGCCCGGGTTTGGGGGAGACTGTGATTCTTCATTTACATGGTAAATGCTAATCACACACCTACTCTATTCCACATGTACACTTTGCCTACTTCAGCATGACTCAGTTAACTATTGTTTCCCTTCACATACTGGGGGGAATGTGCCTGTTTGTATGTGCACATGTGCACTGAAGACTGTACCCAGGGCCTAGCAAACACCAAACCCTGTGCCCCATGGCACCTGAACAGGCACAAATTGCAGCACATGCTTAGGCCCAGACTGCCACGTGCTCCCATGCCAGAAGGCGAAGCTTGCAGCACTTAAGACTCACCTGGGGTCCCAAGGGCACCATCCCTCGCGGGGGAGTCATTCTCTGCATTGGCCCAGCCATATTCGGGTGTCCTACAAGGGATGAGGTCATGAGCCTGGCACCGAGAGTCCGAGCGCAGCCCCACCCTGGCCTGCCCACTCCATCCCTGCACCTCTCACCCCATCACACCCGACATCTGCCCCAGTCCCCGCCCCCTGGGGGTGGGTCTGTGCAGCCGCACTATGGTCCCTTCCCCTGGGGTGGGGCCACACAGTCGCACTATGGTCCCCGCCCTGTCCCCCTGGGGTTAGCCTGCGCAGCCGCACTGTGGCCTGGCCCTTCCCTGTTGGGGTGGCCTGTGCAGTGTACTCAGCTCATTGGAAGTCATGCATGGGGCTTTAGCAATTCTCCTTAAACTGCGAAAGAGTGGACACATCTGTGTCCGCTTCCACAGTATCCCCAGCCATGCCCACTACCGTGCGCAGCTGAGAGTGGGCTGAAATTGCTTAGCCCTCCCACTTCCAAAGACCGGTAAAATCAGGGAAGAGTTCACAGATGGAAGTGCGCTTCCAAAAGGAAGGTGCACCTCAGGCAGGTCACCTTGCTGTCGCGTGGGGTCCATGCCGCTGGGCAGCAGGGGCTGGCTTCCTGGGACACCTCCGAGTGCCTGCAGAGCAAACAGTGCATTAGGGGCGCTGAGGCCTGCGCTGTGGGCGGGCGTGTGCCCAAGGCGCGAGGTTCCGGGGAAAGCATGCGTGCTACAGCGTGTGCATGGGGAGCATTGCCTGGCTTCTCCAGAGATCCTTCTCAGCTCCATTTCGAGGCAGATAAAACAGGCGTTTTGAGGTACTAAAAGTCTAGACCAAAGCATGATATTTCTTCCTCACAAGTGCAATTTCCTAAGGATGCTGAAACAATTGATTTTACCTCTTCTACATGAGCTATTTTTAAAAAATATATTTCATTCGAGAGCCAAGAGATCAACGAATGTTTTTCAGTTAAATTTTTTTCTAAGAAGCTATTTAGAAAAATGTATCAATTAAGTTCAAACCACTTGGCTGTGTGGATGGAGGGAACCAACACTCAAATGTGTGACAGTGGCTGTTCTACTGGGATGCAGAGCCAGTCATGGGTTGCACATGTGTGTAAGACACACACGGCTGGGCCAGGTGGAATCTGATTCAACCCTGCTGATCCCACGAGCACCTCACGCACAAGAGACACTGAAAACCAGTGGTCATTCCTACAAGGCTTCACTCATGAAATCAGGTAAATCTTACCTGATTTAGTAAAATATTTCAACATATGCTTAACATGACTGCCCTGGCATGCCAAGATCAAACGGTTTCCTTAACTGTTATCACTTTGGATGCCACAGAGGGTGCAGTTTTTCAAGCTGATTTTATAACTTTTCTTTCTCGCTGGCACTGGACTGGCCTCGCCCACATTAAGAGCAAGAGCCATGCTGCTGAGACAACCCGGGCCCCAGCTCCGAAATTCTCGGGCTGTAGAGCTGAAGGATCCTCACATGGTCATTGCTGATACCGTTTAGACCTCAGTTTAGGGGTCACTTACTAACACCATTTCCCCCTGTAGCCCTTGTCCTCCTTATATGCGTTTGTGTTTAAAAATAATTTTCAAACCTATAGAAAAAACTGCATGAGCAGTATGAAGAATGCCCCTAGACCTTGACTTCCTAGCTGTTAGCATTTCACATTAGCCTTATGGCCCCTTCTGCCTCCTCCGCCCTCCACCAAGGGACCTGCACTGCCTGAGGGCCAGCGGCAGGCACAACCCAGGCCTCCTCCCAGGCCTGCAACATGGTGCAGCTCCCTCACCCAGCCAGCGCTGCCACCCGAGCCCCAAACCGTTTCAGTTTTGCCATTTCTCCAGCAGTCTTTCGTGTGTCTTTTGCTGTGGGAATGTCATGGAATGTATGCTGCGTTTAGTCCTCAGGAACAGGAGCCAGCGTTCCCGTCTATGTCTCTCTATCCTGTCTTCAATAGTTTTGAGGCACATAAGCCTTAGGTTTTATAGGATGACCGTTGGGTGTTTCCTCAGGCCTGAGGGCAGGGCACATTTTCACACAGGCCACCCAGCAGTGATGGGGGCTGTCCTCCAGGTCATACCCGAGGGGACGCCTCACCCCCACCTGAGAGGTCACCAGTTTCCACACGGAAAGGTCATTCTTTCTCTTTGTCTTTATTTTAATACCAACTATTCTGAGGCTGTTTAAAGCATATTCCTCACCAATCCTTTATTTATCCACAGCCCGTAGCCTCTTTATTTTCTCACTTGCTCTTGAGTTTGTTTTTATTCAATGGACTGGAATCTATTGATATTATCATTTATTTCAATGTTCAAATTATCCCAGGCCTTGTGAGCTAGCTTGGGGTCTTTCTGACATATCCAAGTCATTTCTGGGTCACTTTTCTGGCATGAAATCTTGCAGGTTCACACATACTTTTTATGGCCCTGCCCTGGAAGCATCTCTTTTTCCCAAGGACCTTGATTCCCTAGTGGAGGATGGCATGGAGGTACCAAGATCTGGGCTATTGGAGGGCTACTGTACCGCTTTGGGGTCTTTTGGTAAGCAGTGAGCTTGGCAGTCTACATCTATGTGTATGAACACACGCATACAACAATACATATGTACACTCATACAGATCTGTGGTGAGCTTTATATCTGGGTATGGGTATGGTGCATCCCATGTATTATAAATTCAATAGTTCTGATTGGAATCTGATACTTAGGAATGATTTTTGGCCTTTTTCCTTTCTAGGTCTGTAAATATCCAAAAGCAGAAAATGTGGCTTTCATTACCTTTATCAGTGCACTTATTTGGCTGATATAACTGTGTGCAGACTACATTGGCCCCTTCTTGCTCTCTTTGTGCAGCCCTGTGTAGCCTCTAGATGCCCTAGTAAGCAGAGTGGGCACAGGGGGTCTCACTCCCTGATTCCCCTAGAACTGCCCACTACCAGGGCTGCCTTCATGGTCCATATTGCCAAGTGTAAGCTTGGTGAGAGCTGGGGCCTTCTGCATGCTGCTGGTGCTGAGTGATGCACGTTTACTGAAGGAATGAAAGGAATAGATTCAGATTGGATAGTTATTGGTGATAAACTCATAAATATGGAATAAACTCCAAAGAAGGAAAAGGAAGAAGATACAGGATTTAATTCTTTAAAAATACCAAGAAGGTATTTGTCAAAATTCTACTTTTTTAGCTTATCTTAGACTATCAGGAAAATTGATAAATCTCTCATTTCTACTCATCACTTAAAAACATAGCATTATCTTATAGAAATTTTAATGTAAAGCTCTTTCAAAATGAATAGCTTTATCTAAAGGCATTTATTGAGTCATCAATGTTTGTATTTTAGTATAAGCCAAGTTTTTAACTTTGAAAACACTTTTTATGGTTCCTTTGACAGCTAAATGAAATCTTCGTACATCAACAGGGGCAGAATCATTGCATCGTTTAAACACTTAATACCAGAAAAAATAAACATATCCATCTTGTGTTGGGGCGGTTTCTGTGTGTTTAACATGTTAGATGTATTCCATGCAGACTACTTGTTTACTAGTCAGCGTGCTGGCACGTGCTCTGGTTCTATAAAAGGTCTTCCCTCTGGTGAAAAGCAGGGCCAGTCACCTTTAAGGACACTTAAAGACAACAGAATCTACACTGACATGCACCATGGGTCCCGGGCCTGGGCCAGGGATTGCGCTGAACTCTCTGTACTTATCATTTCATTAATCAGGGTGCACAGTAATGCAACTGGACTATTATTAATCCTTTTGAGGGTAAAAAATCAAAGTTTCATATGTTAGCTACCTGTTAATTTGTCCCTGGTGATCCACTAGTTCTAATGAGTAGAGTCAGAGCTTGGAATTACATCAACCTACTGGAAAGCCCTGAAGAGAAGCCTTAAACTGTAGGCTTTAAAGTAAATGAGTCAGGGCTGGGGACTTAGCTAAGTGCCTAAGCACCTGCCTTGTAAGTGTGTAGGTGTGAGTTCGATCCCCGGTACCAAAAAAAAAAAAGAAATAATATAATATTTTATCAAAACAAAGGAACTACTTGAAGAGTTGCTAGTTCATAGAAGAATTATTTAGCTGACATGCCAGGAGATATCAGGACTCCTAGGGCAGGTCTCTCCTGGAATGTCTGGTGTCTAAATGTCCTAAAGGCTCACAGACCATGACAAATCATGGATCCCTCACCGTTTCCAAGACACAGTTCAGTGAACAATTCTGATCTGTCGGTGATTATGTGCAATAAAGTGAGCTACAGTAATAAAAGAAATCCCAGAACCGAGAGGAACTTTAGCAACATCTGTATCTATTCTTTTACAGTAGGAAAAGCAGATCCCTGAAGGTGACCTGTTCCTAGCAGCATGCTGCTGGGAGGCTTCACACAGTTAGGGCCCGTAACAATATCACTATTTTCTAATTTGTGAAAAAGGCAGTTATCAACAGAGAAGTTAGTTTGGGAAGATGTTGGTCTTTACAGCACAGGGCACCTGTTGATATATATATGCTGCTTTCTGCATTTCTACTGCTGCACCTGTGACATTAAATATAATGGGCCTTTGCCATATCTGGCTATTTAATCAAAATCAGAGTAGTTAAACATTCAGCTCCTGAGACACACTAGTCATGTTTCCAGGGCTCAAAACGCCCAAGCCACTGTGTGTGACTGCACCAGGGACACCACCACCGCCCACAGGGCTCTGGGGCTGTGGGGCTCTACAGCCTCAGCTCTGCAAGCAAGGGGCTTTTCATGAGTTTTGCCACTGGTGGATCCCCGCCCCCAGGGAAGAGAGCCCCGCACATGGTAAACCTCAGTAAGCATGCGCTGGATTTCCGGGAGCGTTTTGTACAGCCCGGAGCGAACAGCAGCGCGCTCTTCGCAATGGCTTATATGGGAAGGAATGCATCTGTGAGCCACGACTCCAACCACGAGGTAGGTTCTGGCAGGAGAATTAAACACTGTATCACAATCTCCACATAACCATAACTTCAGCTGGGTAGGGTCAGGGTTCACTGTAAACTTTCTTGGTGTGAAAAAGAAAAGGAACTTTCTTTTGCCAGACATGTTGAAGTTTTAAACTTCTCTTGCACTATAAGGCAGACAAAAATCGGACACACACACACATGCACACACAAGCACACGCACACACTTCCCTGAATTAACTCAAAATTCCAAGTCATAAGGAAATAATATGCTTTTAACAGTGTCATCGGATTTAAAATAATAATTTACATGTTAATATAATTATCATAAAAACAAGATGTTAATATTTTGATTTGATCAAAGTTATTTTTTGCTTTTCATTACTGACCACTAATTTGTTTTAAATAGGTTACATTTTAAAGTAACAGATTCTCAAAGCCTCCTACACACAAGTATCCAACTCCTATATTCTTTCAGTAAAACATATTTCGTATGGGTATAATTAAAGTCAAACTCTATATGTGAAAATTTTACAAAGATAGAAAATTACTGGTAAGGATATGCTAAGACGTGTTTATCTTGAAAAAGAGAATATGTAATTGAGACTGTGTAGTTTGTTTGAAATGCAGGTCTTGGTTTACAGTACATTTATTTTCAGGATACAAGTGAATGTCCAAACAACCGTTCTTGGTTCCAGTGCCTGCTG